AACTAAGCTAGTGCTGGATCCAAATGCCTTAAAGCAAGATAAATGTATAGACTTATGCATCTGAGGGATATATAGTTGTGTTCATTGAAATAGTAGTGCACAAATCAATTTGATTAAAATTTTAATAATTATCGATTTTCAAAGGAGTTGCCTAAAATAATCAAAAACAAATGATTTCTGACTGAAATTTCCGAAACTTGTTCGTAATTCTCTTTATTGCATTCTACTCTAAACTAAAAGTTGAGATTTTTAAAATTCTTCAATGGAAAAAGTATCTTCTCATATGTTTTTTTTTTTTGTAGTGCTGCACTACTATTTTTATGAACACAGTTTTTTATGTAAGGAATTCCAGAAAGATAAGCATTTCATTGAGAGCAAAGCTCAGCTAGTTGTGATCTGATGCTATGGCACGTGATGTCACTCCTATAAGAGTCTAGAACCTAGAAGCTTAGAAGCTATTCCAAAATCAAACTGCGCACTTTGTGCAACTATTTTGTTTTTCTATTTATTCAAAACAAAAACTATTTTTGAAAACTGTTTGAATACATACACATAAGCAATACATATGCATAGGCGTGCATATGTATGTGTTTAATTATTATATAAGCTATAAATCTGTTGTTCTGGGTAATACGAGTAGATGTACGAGCTTTTCGAATTTATGATCATATTTTGGCATTTGCTTTCTGCTGCCCAACGCGTTATTTGATCGCCAACGTAGGCAGCGGCAGCGACTGAGACTGAGGCAGCGACTGAGGCAGCGACAGCGATAGCAGCAGAGGCGTAGCCAAAACGGCCCAAGGTCAGCGTCTTCTCATTCTGCTCCTCAGCTCCGCTGCTGCCGGCGTGCTGCTCTGCCCCCTCTGCTCCTCTCCTGCCCTGCTCTTCAGCTCCTCTCGCGTGTGAGCATTTGAATAATTAAGTGCGAAGTGAATTAATTTCAATAGAACTTTTTAGCATGCGCTGCCCATATTTAGACGCATTTAGGCAATTGAACGGAAAAACATATTAGAAATGTGATTAACTCGATCCGATTGGGAACTATAATCGCTAAGACCTTTGAGGGCGAATGTCATCAATTCACAAAGGGATGCGATAGGAGAACGTCAATCAATTCCTCATCGATCTATGCTAAGCATTTGATTCTCTACAATACTTTCTTAATCAAGACTTGATTTTAGTTTTACAAGTATTTCCTATAAATATTATATCTATATGCCTACTACTTTTCTAACTGTTAATCCCTCAGGTGCACTCTCAAATGGATCTCCATCCAGCTTCTACCAATACCTAGACCTCATACAATGCCTGAGCTAATCAAGCATCTGCCAGATATATTTTGTACTATTTTATATACATGATTTGATGTTGGAATATTTAATTTTTAATTAATATATTCACATTTTTTAATTGAATTTAATTAATTTAATTTAATTTAAAAATATCGATTTTCTGTTTTTATTCTAATTAAATTTGTTTAGTTTTTGTGTTGCTCATCAAGCGGCAAGCGAAAATGAAACCGAAACCAAAATTGAGTTGTGGCGCCTCAGCGTGTGGAATGTGAGACAAAGCTGGCAAATGGGAAAGGAGGCGAGTGGCTCAGCTGTGAAAGTTGCGGCACGCGAAAGTGAAAATGGAAATGCTGCCTCTGTTGCAGCTGCTGCGTCTGCGTTCAGCTGCCTCTGCATCTGCTGCTGCTGCTGCCTCTACCTTTGCGTCTGCCGTTGGCTCTGCTGACATCAATTTGGCTTTTCGTAGCGGGACTTGGCGTAAAGTGGGCTAAGAAAATGTGAGAGTGTTGCGGCGGCGCAGAAAATAGGCAATAAAAAAGTAATATACATATATATATATATATATATATATACGTTATATAAATTATATATATAAAATGAACAGGTGTTGTAAATAACTGGCGACTGGCAGCTTCGCAGTTTGTCCCAGTAATTAAATTAGTTATTAAAAGTATATTTATTTGTTCATTTATTGCCTGCGAGACCTTGACAAAAAAACCACAAACATATATACAAATATATATAAATATATATATATATATATACATATATATATATATATATATATATATATAAGTATATATATAAATTTAATACTAATATATTATCAAATGTGAAATGTGAGTCAGTAAATGTTTAAAATGAATTAACAAACTGGTTTCGCTTAGTCAAATAATTATTAAAAATATAATTTGCAATTTAAACAAGATGCAAATTAGGAAGTTAACCAAAGCAAAAAGCTTAAAAAACAACAAAAACAAGATCAAATTTTGATAAATTTATTAAGTTATTAATTAATATTTAACAAACGTTCATTTAAATAAATATTCAAAAGATGCAGTCAAAGGGTATATAAAATAGTCAATTCTTAAATAAACTATCAACATAAATATAAATTATAATAATTATAACAAATAATAGTATATAAATATATATAAAAAATGTAAAATATAAATAAATAAAGTATAATAAAATAATGTTAACTATATAAATGTAATTAATACATAAAATAATAAAAATAAATATATAAATATGTATAAATATTTTATTATTACTATATTTTATAAATAAATTATTTTTTAAACATTTTTTTATTTAATTATTAATTTAGGAAATAAAATAAATGAAGTATTTATTACTGACTAATAATTAATTAACTAATATATTCAATAAATATTTATTAAAATAAAACATTTTGGATTATATTTAAAAAGATTAATTTCAATTTAAAAAATCTTAACTTCAATAATTAATTAACTAAATGTATTCAATGAATATTTATTAAAATCATGCATTTTTGATTAAAACTAAAAATATTAATTTCAATTTAAAAAATCAAAAATATAAATATATCAATTCAAATTTTTATATATTATTTTTAAGTTTCAATTTTAACTTAAATGTAAGTCTTATTATTATTGTTTCAGATAATGAAAAATTGGATATTTAAATTATAAACATTATATTAGAGAATAATTACTTTATGAATAAATACAATCTAAAAATAAATACAAACTAGCATTATTATTAAAACTAAGCTGTGTAATTATATACTAAATCTATGTGGTTATATTTAAATTATTAACTAATTACCTGTTCTAATTAGACTAATGTAATTCACTTATAATTGCAAGCGAAAATGCATGAAATATACGAAATTGAAGCTAAAAATAAATTACATTCAATTTTATGTTTTGTTATACTATTTCTCAGAAATTTGTCAACATTTCATTCTTATAAATAATATGACTCATTTGAACAGAGGCGCATGCTAATAAATTTGCATATCTATTTACATGCAAACACATACTTACGCACACTCACATATAGGTTTGCTTAGTGGAGCAACAGCTGCAGCTTAGCTTTGGGTCGTAGCCCATGCTGAAGCCAAGTGTCGCTGACGCAGTTCAACTTCAGTTGCATGCGCCGATATGGTGTTAATGAGAGCACTTGAAACCGGCGTGCAACGCGAGCGAAATGATAAGAGCCGCCGGCAATGGGGTCCAAGAAAACAAACGTAAGAGAGAGAGAGGTAGAAGAGCGGCCGAGCACAAGCAAAGAGCAGAGCACTTAAGCAGCGCAAACGAAAGCTTCAACAAACATAAGAGCAACGTAAAGAGACGAGCGCACAGTCAAAAGCTCTGCAGCTGTGGTGTATTTAACAAATTTGAATTTTGATTGCATGCAGCTGCATAACGAAATCGGCTAAGAAACCTAAATAAAAAACATTTGCTAAATGGAAAATATATCATAAATTTGATAAAAATAAGTATAGATTTAAAATCATTCCGAAAACAATTCAATTGCAATTAGAACAGAACCCACAGTTGTGCATTATCTCTGGATATAATATATTTCGAGCTCATCGTTTAACGACGCGACGGCGTCGACAGCGACGTTGGCAGCGGGTGCAAACGCGACCTTGACCGTGAAATTTAAATTTAGAAGCTACGGCCGGCTACGACGTAAAAAAATTGCAAAAAGCTTTTTGGCTTTCTTCGTGTAAGTGTAAATGTGCACGCACACACATGCACATTATTATGAGATATATGTATGTGTCTGTGTATGTGCATATTTGTAAGTTAAGGGAGATATAAAAGCAATTAAGCCACAGGTATACCCTCCCTCTGTCTGTGTGTGTGTATACATAACAATTATATATGCAATTTATGTGTCTCATGTGCCTTTTGGGATATTTGCGAAATTCGAAATTTTATTTTTATCAGCAGCAGACGCCGCCAGACGGTTTAATTGAAATGTGAACTTGCATGCAATTATGCAAATTGTCTAAGAATACGATAAGCGATTGAACATTTAAAAATAACACTTCTGTAAGCTTATTAGGATATAAAATAAAAATACGTAAACTACAAATACTCTACTTTCACACGTATTAGCGTTAATCGATAGGTTTTCGTTAAGTGTAAGTTCTTATTGATGCATTATTTTCGTTAAGAAATATGAACATTTATCGATAATAAAAATAAATTTCAAACAATAATGTTATATCAGGTGTTGGCTCATAGTAACTTTCTAGATAAAGATTTGAGTCTTGTTTTACGACACAAAGGAAGTATAAAACAGGCGACTGTAAAAAACGATATTAATGATAAAATTAATATCAATGTGTTTAAATAATTTTACTCCCTACGTAATCGTACATTTTATATTTCTATACAGCTGAAAACAAAAAAAATATATATGAAATATCTTATATTTGCAACTTTCAAAAAAAGTTAAATAACGACAAAATTTAAATTTACCAGTGTGCCCAATGTTAAGTAAATGAAAATAATAATACCAACAAAATGAAAGTAGTAAAGTTGATAAGTAATATATATAGATAAGTAGATTAAAGAGAAAGGACATTCACCAAGCAAAAGTATATGTTTTTTAGATTAACTCAATTTTAACATTGTCAATATGTAAAATGAATTTATTTCGATTACTTCAGGCCTATCTCCCAACCGCCACTTTCTCGCAGACAGTTCATCGAGAGTTATCGATAACCCTAAATTATTGCAATTGCCGGATTTAGCATTTAGTCAGTGTTTAATTTGTGCTATTTGTTTGAATTCATCGATTGTCACTTAATAAAGTGAATCTCTTACGACTTTAAATAATTCTTTGAATTTAAATTTGTGTCAACACACATAGCAATTGCTACCAGTTGCGAATTAGTTGGCTAAACATTCACGCGCACGTGGGACGCTAAATTATTGCACAGCGATCACATTCCATGTTAAAATGCTAGAAGAAACGTTTAGCGAATATTTTCTGTGCAATTTTAATGATGCACAGCATGTTGAGGGTAAGTAATAAAGTTAAATAAATAGCTTGGTCAATATGAAAGAAAACAAATACTCCACAGCTTTGCCGGCTGATGAGCGACTTCGAAAGCTATGGAGCAGCCAAGAACTGTGGACAGTGGACGAACTCCAGATAATAATAAAACGCTGGCAAGATAACGGCCAGTATGAGCTACAGGGCACCGAGCAGGCAACACAACTGCTAAATGACTTCTTACTATTGATTTTTGCCTTTGTGCAAAACAATTTTACTGGACCATTCGATAAGTTGGCAGCCTGCACAGAAATGCTCAAAGACTTGAGTCTGGAGCAGAGCGTGGCACAGGAGCAGCTGAAGGCAAGCGGTGAGGAACTGAACCCCAATGTAAAGACTGCACAATTGTTGCTTATAGCAAAGCAAATCCTTAAAACTTTAAGCGCTGCGCAGCCCACGTCGAAGGTATCTCTACTTAGGCTATACTCTTAACCTCGCTAATCCATTCAATTGCCTTGCAGCTGCTTTGCTGGTGGCGTCTGCGTGTAGTCTGTCTGCATCAGCATATCCTGGACGACTTAGCGAGCGCCCTGTACGAGGAGTTCAAGCTGGCAGCTGCTGAGCTGCGTCCCCATTTATCAGCCTTTGCTCAGCTGGAGCTGCAGGCTCTGCTGCTTCTTGAATTAGCCAATGGCTATTTGCAATTCCATCGCTCCGATTTGGCAGATCAGGTGCTGGATGAGCTCTGTGCGCATCTGCAGGTGGACCTAAAAGTTGAGGGTCTGCTCGGGGTGCGCACCAAGTTTCAGCAGAAGCCACTGCCTCAACTCTGTTTGAAAGTGGAACAGCAATCGACGGAGCAGACCTTGCCTACAGCGCAGCTAAGCAATGCAGAAACCAGCTTGCCGCACTTGCTGCTCCTCGAGGATGACACGCGCCTGGAGCGTATACGCTTCACCGAGCCCAAGGACAACGAGGTGATGACCCTGCCCAGCGTGTTGCAAGCTCTTGTGCTGGCCAAGGTGTGAGTACGAATCGATCTGGTATATACTCTTTAACCATGACTAGCATAATTATTTTGCTTCTAGCAAGCAACTGAAGCGATCGCAGCCTAAGGATCGTCTGGCAGATGAGCAGCTGGAGCCGTATACGCAGACTTTGCTCTATCAGGAACATGGACCGCTGCAGGTGCGTCAAGCTGCACTCCTGTTGAACTGTCATCAGGAATCCGGTCAGCGACGTACTGTAGAGCGTAGCTGGAAACAGTGCGAGGAGTGTGTTAAACTGTTGGACAACGCAGAGAAGCACACGCTGCGTACAAGGCTCTCCTATGGCTTTGCCTCGTTTCTGCAGCCCAAGTGGCAGGTGCAGCTGCAATTGGTTGATCTGTTGCGCTCACTAGGCATGACCAAGACTGCGCTGGATGTTTGCTTGCAAATTCATGCCTGGCAACAAGTCATCGAGTGCTATACCAGCTTAGAGCTGCGCCACAAGGCAGCAGAGATAATACGCCAGGAGCTGGAGAAGCAGCCCACTGTGTTACTTTACTGTTTGTTGGGTGATGCAGTCGATGATCCACAGTGCTACGAGCAGGCGTGGCTGCACTCCAAGCAAACCAGTGGCAAGGCGCAGGCCTATTGGGGCAACTATTTCTATAGGCGTGCGGACTTCGCACAGGCCATCGGCCACTACGAATTGTCGCTGGAGATCAATGCGTTGCAAGAGTCGATTCTGCTGCGTTGCGGCTACTGTGCCATTCAGTTGGAGCGCTGGGATTCGGCTGTTAAATGGTATTTGGGCTACACGCACCTGGAGCCAAATGGATTTGAATCGTGGAACAATCTAGCCAAGGCGCTTATCAAGCTGGGCGACAAGCAGCGGGCACATCGTCTGCTGGGAGAGGCACTCAAGTGCAACTACAATAACTGGAAGGTGTGGGAGAACTATATGCTCGTCTCGGTGGACACCAGTCACTGGGAGGATGCCATGCGTGCGTATCAGCGACTCGGCGAACTCAAGCAGCATTTCCTGGATGAGGAGGTGCTCACGCGCATTGTCTATGGTATTGCTAGGCAAATGCAGTCCGACTGTTCATCGCAAGCCATGTCCAGTTCTCTGCAGCGTCGCATTACTCAGCTGCTGGGTCAGCAGTGCGTTCAGCATGGCAATGATCCTATGGTCTGGGAATTGGCCGCTTTGGTGGCAGCGACGCCTCTAAAGAAGGCCGAGCGTTTGGTCAAATCATATCGCGCCTACACTGCCAAGCAGCTCAACTGGGAGACAAAGTCGGCGCATGCTAAGAAGGCGCTCAGTCTTTGCCTGGAGGTGGCTGAGCTGTCGGTGGCTGCCATCAAGGAGCATGCCGAGGACGAAAGTGAGGCGATGATAACATCTCAGCTGAATTCCAGTCGCCTGGCGGCCACCTCCTGCATCAATGCGTTGAAGCGTGCCAGCCTGGTAGAGGTGCCCAAAGAACAGGCAGACCAAATGCAGCAACTGGAGCAGCAGCTCACAGAGCTCACCAATATCGTGCAGCAGCGCATGCAACGCAACTAATCAGTCGACTCATTGTACATATGTAAAACGTTTATTAAAGCATCTTAAAATATATTTAATATTCTATAATCTAAAGCGTATTCAACTTTGTAGTGATAAGCACGCGTACGCTCTGATCGAAGGCGCCGGCAACGGCCAGGCCCAGCTTGTCTGGATGCCAGTCGAAGCTGTGCACAGGTTGCGAGCTGAGAGTTACAGCACTGACCATTTGAAGCTTACCAGCAACGCCTTCTTTGTTGCCATCGGCGTCCTCGAGAACGCGTCGATCGGGGTACTCGTATTTCCAGAGGCGTATAGAGCCGGTTCCGCCGCCAGTCAAGAATACGTCCCGATTTTGCGGTACATGGCGAACAGTCCAGACTGTGGCTTTAGGGCCAGTGATGACTCCATTGGTGCCTACGCTGCGACCCGCATTGCGTTCCTCCACGTAACTGAATCCCTTAGTAGGATGCTGTGTGCGCATGTCATAGACTAGGAGACCACCTTCTAATGTTGTCACCGCCAGCTTGTTCATGGGTATGTCTCGTCGATCAAACTCCAGGCCGCAGATGCCATTCCTAATGGTGGCCTCCCAGCGCACGCCCATGGCCCGCAGGTCAAAAAGCTTCAAATCCCCATTGTCGTAGCCAGCTGCAATGAGACGTTCTTCCTCGTTGTATGTGTTGCCAAACGCAATCGCCCAGCAGTCGCGTCGGAGATTGCTTCTGTTGATTCCATCACCCATCTGCGAGGGCGGCGATATGTCCACAACAGGATCTTGGCCCTGGCGTATGTCCCACACTTTGATAGATCCATCTCGACTACCAGTCACGATTTCCGGTGCTCCACACTCCAGCTGTGTGCCGCCAATTGCGTCGATGCAGTTTATAATGCCACTGTGCGCCTTTACATTATATACAGCTAGGTCAGGATGCTCCAGATCTCTGTATGAGAAAGGAATATACTTATATGTATGATAGATCAAATATTCTTCTACTCACAGCACTTGAAGCCGTCCCTCAAAGTCGCCAATTGCCATGTGCCGGTTGCGCAGCGAGGAGGCTCCGAAGGTGCCACACTTGAAAGCCGCCTTCTTTTCCACAGACTTGACTTTCTCTAACTTATCTTCGTTCAGCTCGTAAATGTCCAAAATTCCATGGCTATTAGGCTTGGAGCCAAGCACCACAAATTTGGCTGATAGCGGTATCCATTTTGTATCATACACCGTGTAGTTCACGGACTCGTGCAAATGTTCAATGAGCTGTGGCTTGTCCATGTTGTTAGCTTTATTTTTTTATATTCAATTCGGTCTTTAAATGTAGAATTTCGAATTGATTGAAAATTCAAAAGCAACTTGTTTTCGGAATGTTGCCATGGTTCCTTTGATGACATTCTGTCGATTACTATTCGTCATTTCCGATAACACTAGAAATGAAGTATGCCTGATATCAAAAGTGTTGACTTGAAGATACCCTGTTATTATTAAGAACATCTGTTTTGTTATATTATATAGTTATTTTTATATTACAGTTAATTATAAATTGTAATATATTATTTTTATTTATAAAATTGTGAACACACTATACCCGTCTCTCATTGGTTTTAATTAGTACTGAGTATCAGAACTATCGATAGTTTATATCAGACTATCGAACGTGGTTTGATGCCGTAACAACACAGAAATATAAAAGTTAGATTTCTAAAAGAAAATATGCTGCGCGCAGGTTGCCAATTGTTCAATCAGTCAACTGTGGCGGCTGCCAAAACTGGCAGCAATAACTTTGCATTGGAGTTTGTCAGGTGGCGCCGCAAGCCGCGTTGGTTGCCGGTGGCCAAGAGCAAACTATTCCGCGTGCCAGAGCGCAAGAAGCAGAGCGAAGAAGAGCGCACGGAGCTGATGCGGCTGCACAATCACTACAAGTGAGTTTTATAAATCAGAGGAAAAACATCCATGTCTAGCGTTAATTATTACCATACAGAACCCAGTTGCGCTCAGTGCGTCAATATTTGCGGGAAGAGGTTGTGCGACAGCAGGAGACATCGACAGCGGATCACATAGTGCTTACGCCCGAGCAGGAGGAAGCAGAGTTCCAGCGCTGCGTTGAGATAAACGCTGCATGGAACGCCAAAATAGCCATCGAACGAGAAAAGCGTTTGGCCAAGGAGCGCGAGGAGAAAGTGGCCTACGTACAGGAGCGCCTCGATGCGCGCAGAGTGCGTGAGGAGGAGCGACGTGAGCGCGCCGACGAGCGTGTACGCTTCGAAATCGAACAGTCGAAGTCATTCATCACACGTGAAAATCTGGATGCGGCAATCGAAACGGCTTTGGCCAACCCCGTGGATCACAACTTTGCCATCGACTTGGCGGGCAACATGATCAAGGGGCGTAGCACGCAGCCGTCAAGCAACTAGAACTAAATATTTGTTTCGTTACATATAAAAATAGAGTTTACTCGGTAATCAATATGCTGTTAAATAACTTACGACTTATACGCCCTATTTACAAGAATTATTACATGCTCCTAAACTAAACTAAATCTAAAATGGATTTTTCCGTAAAGTTTAGTGAGTGCTACGTAGCAGCGGCTCCAGTTGCTGCTGTGGGCAAGGTAGACGTTGCGGATTTTGGTAGCCTGGCAGCCGTCTCCAGCTGCTTGAATAGATGCTCCCAGTCGGGCGTTGCCTTGAGCTTGGCCTGGATGGGACCAAGATTAATCATGTTGCCGCTCCTTTGCTCTCGATTGCTGCTGATGGACATGAGCTCCTACAACAGGCAAAGTTATTATAAAAACTTAGCGTTAAAGTGATCTGCGATCTACCTGCAAAAATCCTGAATCCAAGCCTAAATCTAAATCGAAATGCGTGTCGCCCAGCTGCAGTTTAACACGGCCGGAACGATAACGTAATATCTTGCCAATTTGACCCTCCTCCAGCTGTGCTAATAGACTGGGCTTAGGCGTACCTCCAGCAGCCGTAGGGGGCAGTGGACTGTTGGGCTGATCTGTGGCAGCACTCGTTGCTGGTTGCTCTGGGGCTGCTGGCGGTGCATCTTCACCTTCATCTGCCACGCAGGGCAGAACATTAGGCAGTTGCATGATAAACAGCTGCGACTGAGGCGCTTCGAGAAAGGCGGCAATACTGCGTGGATAGCGCCCGTATTGTGCGGGTGGCTCTTCCGGAGCAGCCTGCATACCCACGTGCAGGCTCTGCAAATGCTGTGCCACAGCTACAGCGTCTACAAAAGGCAATATAAGAAGAAGTTTGAAAATTTGCTTTAAAATGTGCACTTACCCGATGCATCCAAATTTTCCTTTGGTATGGCTACTGCTTCCTGTTTTATGTTGAGTTTCTGGCTGTTCCAGAGTCCTGCATAAGGAATGTTTAATTTGTTATTAGATGTTTTAGGCCATTCGATATCTCTTCGACACTAACCTTCCTTGAGCATCACCGGGTTGAAGTTCAATTCAGTCTTATCAAGCTCGCTTTCCTCTTCGGCGGATTCGTCGTCTTCACTGGTATCGCTACCTATTAACTCCCGCACACGCTGATCCTGCGTTTTATCATCTTTGCGCTTTCGCGATAAAGTCACTTCGTCGCCACCACGCGCATAGGATGAACCACCACCGCCCGAGGATTTTCGTATGTGCACGGCGCCAGCGCCTTCTGAGAAAACGCCCGTCGTTTGAATGAGTGTGGAGTTGCCACTGCCAGCGCCACGTCCACGAGTTGCACCACCAGCGCCACGAGCACCACGGCGTCCGCCTCGAGGCTGGGTAAAGTCCTTGGACGTCTTTACATTACTGTTGAAGACTTTATGCCATAAGTTTCAGTGCTTGATTTGCCCTTACCATGAACTACTCACATATTTTTGTTGCGTACCGCATTTAAATTGGGCGCAAACACTTTCTTGTTAGCAGTGCTTGCACCGCGTCCGCCCAGGGTCAAATCTCTAGCTGGCGTTAGCCGCGACATTCCGTTGGACATGTTACTCAGTGGAGCTGCTGTCGCTGTTGTGCTGGCTGTGACAGCTGGTTGTGCTGTTGTTGACGCTCTCTTGGCTGGCATTGTTGAATGCCGCTCGGCACTGCCGCAGGCCAAATGCGGCCACAGAAGTCAACTATAGAATTAATGTCGGTTATTAACAAATTCAACGAGCTGGGATTTGGCGATGATTTGAGGTTAATTGATATAGTGTTGCAAAATGTATTCCGTACGCACATGCCGATAAGCGTGCTAAATTTATCGATATATCGCTGCCCTTATCAATGTTACCGTATACAAAACTGGTTTATTTTGCTTGCTTTGCAGTCTGCGCGGCATTTGTGCGTATGGTGCACAAATATTTGTTTATTTGTAGTTTTAAGTGTTATATAAAGTATACAAAGTGTTTCTATGCATCCAAAGATATATAAAGTGTATTAGTGTGAAATGTTTACGTCAAATAGGCTTCAAATTACCGAATTTCGTGTAGTGCGTCTATTTGGTAAATTGCCGATCAGCTGTTTGTGTAATATAAATAAAGCCGAATATATCGATAAATATATTATATGGCAATCGCGTTAGCGCCATGGAAATTCGATTATTATTTTGAAATATAAGATGATCAAATGTAATTAAGGCTGTAATGCTCTTTAAAATTGTGTTTTTGTGTCATTGTTTGGAAACATGGAAACCTATGTTTGAAATTAGCCTGTACAAATAAATAGCGTGCAGAGTATTTGATTGATCTACTGAATATTCTGTAAAGGTAAGTACATACATATATAAATATATATATACACACATATGTACTTATAGTTTTTCATGCAATATAAATTTTTAGTCACGTTTTGGCCTTTTAGTAAGGCAAATTTAGTCACACAAATATTTAAAATATGAATTCGATTTGGTTTCAGGGTATTTAGAATTCTCTCGTCTATACCATTTATGATATGCGTTATGCGAAGCTAATGCCATATGCTTACAGACGGGTTTATAATTTGATACAATTATAATATTTTCGCTATACTCTTTATATTTGTATAATCTTTTATATTATCGAACTTCAATGAAAAATGCCTGATAAGTAAATACATGAATACATCATGTTTTGCGTCTTTTCATGCGTCTGGCCGGGTATCTAATCTTCGAGTTCGACATCGAACTGTTCTATCTGGTTGGCAAAGTTCAATAGAAATATGTGAACCTGTTAATTCTAGGTACACATGCGCTAATATATCATTGTCAATACCGACTTATGGGCTGTTCCGCTTTGAAACATAGACTAGTTGAACTTTGAACGTTTGTTCCCCTTTGTGTGAATAGTTTATGTTAACTGATTGAGTACGATAAAAAGATTAGTTTCAAGTAAGCATTAGTTGCATTAACCCTTATCATTAATATTGTTTCACTTGGCTGTTATCGATGGAAAACGAGTATTGTTCTCTCGCAGAGTATAAGAGCGCTATAAAATGTTTTCAGTAATTTTGTGAAATATATGTGTGTTAAAACAACTAATGGCGTAACTGATAAGCGTGGGTAAGCTCAGGTCGCTCAATTGAAAGGGAAGTAGTGAATTTCATAATGCCGCAAAAGTTTGAGCGCTAGTATTTCGGAAACACTCGCCGCGGACGGACGCATACGAGGGCAGCAATCGAATAAAAACATGGAACCAACTGTGGAGAAGACAGCGGCCGAAGCGGCTACCTCAACAAATCACGATGCCGACTATATACAAAAAGCTTTGGCGTTGGCGTACAAAAGCGAAAGCTTGCGTGTGGAGAGCTTTCAAAGTGAACCAATTACACAGCGTGGCGAAAACTTTTGCAGCGTCATCTATCGGATAAAAGTGGAATATCGCAAAAATGAAAATGCTCCGTTAGAGCAAGGCAATTATGTCCTGAAGGATTTGCTGCCTATTGTGGCCGAGGTGGGATCCAATGAGAAAGTAATGTTCCAGGAGATATTGCCGGCCATGGCACAGATATTGGAAAAGACTTCGCTGGAAGAGCACAAGCTGAACGCTGAGTAAGTGAGCTTCATCAGTTTTATTATACATTGGCTCATTTCATAGTATTTTCAGATGCTTTTTTGCGGAACGTGAAACATCCAAAGAGATTTACCTGTTGGAGGATCTCTGCGCACTAGGATATGCGTCAATGAATCGCCGAAAAGGCTTGAACTTAGAGGATGCTCAGGTTTGTGTGCACAAATTGGCACAGTTTCATGCTGCTTCGATGATGCTGCTGCACGAGCAGCCGGAGCTAGTGGCTAAACTGTCGCCCTCCCACTATGTCGACGGCTTGGGTGATCCCTTTGCCCAGGTCATTGTCGTGAATGGCACGGCCTTCGGAGCAGAGGTGGTGGCTGAGCTGCCGGGCATGGCAGCCATAGCAGCCAAAATGCGGGCTCAGCTTCCCTCTGAGTATGAAACGCGCATTAAAACTGTGGTCAACTCCAAGAATACGGCAATGCCTGTCATAGTACATGGAGACCTCTGGCTAAACAATCTGATGATCAATGCTGAACAGAAAAAGGCCATAATTGTGAGTATCGGAGACTTGGCAAGGAATTCATAAATTGTAATTCACTTTGTTTGCCTCTCAGGTGGATTTCCAAAACTGTTTTATTGGCAGCGCCGCAGTCGACGTACAATTCTTCCTGTACACCAGCTTGCAACTGGATGTGCTGCTGCAGCACCGCGAGGATCTGCTGAAGCATTACTACCAAAGCCTCTGTCAGACGCTCACTGCCTTGAACTACCCCGGCAGCACGTTAAGCTACGAGCAACTGGCCGAAGAAATGCAGCAATGTCTCTTCTATGCCTACTATGCCGTCGTCTGTGAGCTGCCCATCTGCTGTGCATCCAAGGATGCAGCCGAGGACTTTACCGTAGACACTTTCCTGAGCTCGGAGTCTATACTAGCCAAACGCCGCGAGCTCTTCGCCAACGAGCGCGTAATAGAGACGCTCAAAGCGATCTTGCCTTACTTTGATGAGCAGGGCATATTAGATCCGTTGTAGGAGACGGATGTTGTTTTTGTATTATGAATAATATTTAGTTTCTGGTTGATTTTTATGCAACTGTGGTGAACTGTATTGTTAATGTTTAAATTTGTAGAAAAAAGCGTAATGTTCGAGACGTGTTTGACCCTTTTGGGTAAATGTTTACATTTTTGATCAGTATAAAAAGTGGAGTTCGTGTTATGTTCGGCTCCTTGTCGTGGGTAAACTAGGTTGATGAATTATATCTGAATGTGTCCTAAACTAGTTTACTTGACAGATAGAATAAATGACTCTGAAGAGAATAGAATGCGCACTAGCTTATCGAAACTAATAATGGTTGTTATATATTCAAGGCATTTGATAAACAAAGACTTTGACTATTAAACGCTTTCTTCGTTGGCCAACTGGCTGGGGCTTCGAGGAAGGAGTTATTGAAAGTAAAGAGGGCATGACATGTGCCCCTTATGAAGTTGTTGGCTTTGAGCTCACTGCGCTCCGTTTGCCATTGCTATGACAGCTACACAAGTTGCATTACTCAAGTGTTTCGACTTGTTGTGTTTATAAATAAATTTTCGTGTCTGCCAAAGTTTCTGGCCAAGATTTACGAGTAAGAGATGGCAATTGAGTGCATGTGTGTGTGTGCGTGTGTGTGTGTTGGCTGCATTGAGTGCGATAAAGTTGGCATCGCTTGCTCCACGCTCTCAAAATATGCAAATCGCTTTGCAGTTATTCTTAGAAAGTTGTCAGTTAGCTAGCGAGCCAAGCTAAGCCAAGCGTGGCAGCCTGGTAAGCAGACCAAAATGCACTTGACACCCTGCAACGTGTAAGTTGTAAGTGTTTAAAAAGCAATTTATTGTTTTGCCCAAACGCAAGCACCTGAACCCACTCCACGCGCTGATAGAGTGCCTTTTATGCTTTAGTAAGCTTTGCATAACATTTTCTTAGTTGTCCGTGGGTTTCTTGGTGTCTCTACATATATGTTTCTATGCGGAGTCGTATTTGCTTTCGTGCTCATTCCTGCCATGAGCCGACTCCAGCGGAAGTTCGTGCAGCAAGTTTGTCTTTCCTTTTTTTTTTTGTTTTCATCTCGTCATGGAATGGCAATACAAATCAAAGGCATAAAGTCCTGTGTCTGCAGCTTGAAGGCATTAATTGCATTCGGCAGCATCACATTGCACTTTCAATTAGTTGCAAATGCCTTAACTCCCAGCCGAAGTCCCAACCCTTCTAAATGGCTGCATCGCCGTTGGCAAAGTAACAGGAAACGGAAGTTAAGTGCTGAGGCGAGGCGTTAAGTAAAATCAACCCCAAACTCGACTACAGCCGCCAGATGAAAGCAACAAAGCAGCATCCCAGCCATGACATTGGAGAATTATGCATTAATTGAAAGGCGACGCTGGGGGTGCCTTGACTTACGCATAGGTGCAACAACTTTGACAGCAAGTAGATTTGTTTTGGCAGCTCCTTTTTGGCCAGCCAGAAAGCTGACCCTCAGCTGCTGCTGCTGCTGCTGCTGCTGCAGTTGATGCAACTTAAGTCGCCCAACCATTCAACATTTCCATGCACTTTGCTGCCGGCCATTTGCGTTTCGCCCAATGCAAACAGCAAACTGTCTGACGGCCCAGTCTCAGCCCCTGCCCCTGTCCTTGCCTCTTGCATTTCAAAATAGATTTATGGTTTTCTTTCGTCTTGCATTTAGAGGTGTTTGCCAGGCCTCTCATTGGGGTTGGCTCGTGGTTTTTGTTGGCTTTAGCCGCACACTCATTTGTTTATTTTGAATGTTAATTAAGGCTTACGATTACCGAAATTGGCTCAAGGGGTTTGTTTCTCTTAACATATCTGCATGTGTCTATCAATTTGACTATGTGGAGCTGAGAAATGTAATTTTGTAAAAGGATTTATATCTGAAGCTCATCAAATTGTGAACAGATACAGAATATATTTTCTACAGAATATATATATAGGACAACAACATTTTATCAGAGTTAGTGAAAAAGATTTAGGCTATAGCTTTCCCAAGGCTTTAGAAGCCAAGTCCTTCAATTTGGTATTACTTCTAGTTTCTTGTAGAACAGAGTTCTTTTCTGTCTCTCTCTCTCTTACACTCTGTCTGTCTCTGTCTTGTTCTAACTATAGCTCAGCGAGGAATACTAAAGGCTGTGGTCTCACATTTAGCATTTAGTAACAAATAAAATGTGGATATGAATGAAATTTAAATTTATATTTAATCTAAATAGCAAAAATATATAAAAGATTTTCTATTCAATGAGTTTTTGAATGAAAATTTTATGTATTTTCTAAACAGTTGCTCTACACTCTCCCTCCCATGTCCAGTTCCATGCTCTCTATTATGAATACTCTTTCGAATATCATGATGACTTATAAATATGTTTTAATAATGTCAAAAATATGATGAGGTCTGTTAACAAAGAAGAAAACAGTCTTGACAGTAGCTGATATAAGCCTAGTTCTAGTTTATAGTATCTAATCATCATATCAGCTGCTAGATCATACTCTGTTAAAGTACATATAGTTTGACAACAATCTGCTTAGCAGTTTCATACTCAAAGTTAACTTTACTTCAATATTTTTATCCATTTCGCATGGTTACAACGTATAAATTTTGTTGATCGACCCACTAAATCTTGCGATTATTTTCTTATCACAGTTTTTTTCAATTTGCTAACACCACTTCAGCGGGTGAATGAGAGCGAGTAGGAGAGAGTGCGGCTCAGCTTAAGTAAGCGACGTGCACACAATTAAAGGCAATAAATTTGCACATAAGACCATAAATCAAAGTCCGATCATAATCGCAAAGCGCCAAGCAAAACAAACAGAAGCAGAGAAAAACTGAACTTCCTGAGTAGAGCAAAGACTCATACGCAGAGTCAACCCCCAATCGGGGAACCCCAATTGACCACAGCGAGCCTTGGCTACGAGCTACGAGCTGGCTTCGTTTATTAATTGTACAACTGTCTCCAATCATAATTAATGAACTTTCGGCACATCCTTCCAGAGACTCGACTGTCCGTCCGGAATTCAAATAAAACTAAAATCTTTGTAACAGAAATGTATTTTGGCACACCATAAATCTTGTGTTTGGCAAATCTGTTCTGGGTTCTGGCTGCTTAATGGATGTCAGCTTCAATTAGCCACATTAAAGGATTTTCTAAGGCTTATTCTTTCTTGTTCTATAAGCATTTAATCTAATGTGAGCTTAGCTGAATGAGATTAGGTTTGAAGTTGCCTTTTTATTTTTTACTTTAAAATATAGATAAAATATTTAGTTTTTTGTGGAATTTATACTTGTGATGTACTAGAAAATTATATTTAGAAAGTATTTTTATGTCTGGTATTAATGAAAAATTGAATGAATCGAGCTTTGTTTGTCCAGGTCTTTGTCAATCTGTTACTATGAAATCATTAATCTCGGGTCTTAAGGGAGTTAGAGTCCTTAAAAAGTTATTTCTAATTCTTTCGAGTCTTTGAAATTTTATTCATAATTCTTTACACAGTTCCCGGTGGATAAAATATATTTAATATGTAATAAAATATATAACCTGCTCAAGAAATCGTTTAAAATGGATATAAAACCATACTTATGTGACCATATGGTCACCTTCGCATGTGTCAAGAGCTAGACTATCTATCTATCTGCTATCTGTTTATAATAATCAGGAAAATAATTAACTATTAAAAATGTTCTGCTTAATGATATTCGACATAAAATCTTGAATATTGTAAGCGACTATCTTATTTGCTTATCAATTTAACGACAGGAACTTGACTCATAGCCCGATCTACAAAGGCGACAATTGCTTGACAGTTGCCCAGCCTTTGATGAGCTCTTGAGTGTAACTAAATGCTAGATCTATTAAGCTAAGCTGTACTTGCGCGTCACCAGCTAGAGCTAATGACTTGCAATAAATAATTTTCAGTTAACAAAAGAAGCCGCAGAATTAGCATATGAATGCCTGGTGTCTTATGGCTGGAAAATGTCGTCGGGGTTTCCTCCTTTTCAACCCCTCAACCCATTGTTCGTGAAAAATTGGTTGGCTATAGCAAACAGCAAGCACACATGATTCCCATTTGAGAGCCAGCCCTTTGGGGGGTTGGAGTAAGGAGCAGACCTTTTCATATACAAACAGCTAATGACTAATGATGCCACAATTTATCTTGACTGATTTGTAAGCAAGTGTTAATGTTTTTTAATCTACGTTACGTCTTTTGCACTACGTAACGCACCTCCCACCACCCACACATGTGTGCATAATTACTCAGAATGAGAAAAGAGCTTTTGTCATCGTTTTGAAATTATATTCAAATTCTGGCAACTTTGACTCGCTGACAACGCTGATAAATGAAGGCAACTTCAACTTGCCGCTGCATGAAAAATTAACGCAATTTTTTTATTTGCATTTAAGCTCGGCGAACAAGTGGCTGTATCATAAGAGCAACTCTTGATAATTATTTGGGATTTGCATATGTAATTTTCCACATTAATGAATGCGACTGCAAAGTCATTCAGATTTGGAATTACTCTTTCTCTCACTCTCTCTGGTTCTATTCATATCTCTGCGAGTAAAATTTATTGAGAAATGATGGGAATCTACCTCCTGTTCTTAAGCAGCATCAAAATTAGATTTTTCCTTAAGCTAGACAGCTTAATCTATAGAATATTTTGGAAGTATGTATGTCTTAAGACATGAATTATAAATTATTAGCATAGCAGCAAGAAAACTTGCAACCAACAACAGAGCTCTGGGTATTTCCTAGTCGAGCATTTCCTACAAAAATACTTTTACTTAATGTAGGAATAAGCGACGCCCTATCTTTTTATTTCTATATTTAGAATACTTATGTTTTTTTTAGTGTATTTTCTCTCTTTCTCTCCCTCTTTCTGTCTGTATAGAGGCAGAGATGCAGTATGAAAGATGCAGTATATTTGGAAAGCAAAAACTTCCATACTTTCAATACACATGTTTCACAATACTCTGAATCTTCTATATGGCTATACATTAGTGTTATTTATATACCATTAGTACATAGAAATTTCTGTAAATAGACAACAAATTTGGGTGCTCAGCAGCATACAGAGCCCATCTCCACTCCATGCACCATTGCCTCTGCCATTCCTCCAAAGAAACTAAACTTTGTTAATGTAAAATATCATCAAGTGCGCAAATAAATCTAATGCAATTACCTTAAAAGCGCTAAACCATAAAAACATATATGCATTTTACAAAAAAAAACAAGAAGACGATTTTTATGACATTTACGCGCTGTAATAAAAACTAAACAAATTCCCATTTTGATACGAAATGCGAATGGCGCCAAGTCCTAGCCGAAGCCGAAGCTGCTGCCGCTGCCGCTGCTAACCGATTGATGAATTGCTCGACTGGTTGCAGGCTTTAATGGCTTACAAGAGGCGGCTGGGCGTGGCTGTAACGAGACATCTTTTATGTGGCCCACAGACATGGGCCAAAAAACTAATTACCTCTCTTGGACCTAGAATATACTGCTCGTCAGCATTTTAACGGCTTGCGCTTTATAGACCCTGTGGCTTGGCACTTGCCACGATATGCACGTGCACATATATAGCCGATGTATGTATGTGTATATAGTTTTAATGGCGTTTTGCATACGATTTCAAATTTGCGCTGCACTGCATCGATAAAGGGACGACCCTTTCGCAGCACATTTACGACATGCTGGGCGACAGACCAGCCGGCAAATTTGACGTTGACGCATAAAAACGCATCGTCGCCAACATAAAAGTATCTTGAAAGTTTTTTGGGAATGTGTAACAAATATAAATGTTATTCATAGTGCCGACAGCAGCTACCACTGCCCGCTCTGCTCTGCCAGATAATTCAAAATGTGTGAAAAGGTTTCTGACATTTGTCGCGCAATGCAGAATTTATGATTTGCTTGAAGCTGCCCGTTTTACTATTAATTGTGATTGGCTGCCAGTCGGATATATTTTTGTGTGTTTGAGTTCAGTTCAGTGCAGTTTCTTGGCTTTGTTTGACATTAAGTGTGATAAAAGGCGGAAAAGGTGTCAAAATCAACAGCATTTTATGAGAAAGTTGAGAACTGCGATAGAAGTTTAAAGAAAGCTTCCATTGTCTCTATATTATATAATTTATATTCCATATTCAATATTCTATATTCTATTTTATATATTCCATATACCATATTTCATGGATTACATTACATATTACATATTCCATATTCCACATTTCCATATTCCATATTCCATATTTCATATTCCATGTTCCCTTTTCCATATTCCATAATCTATATTTCATATTCCAAATTCCATATTCCATATTCCCTGTTTCCTGTTTCCTGCTCCATGTTTCATGTTTCATGTTTCATGTTTCATGTTTCATGTTTCATGTTTCATGTTTCATGTTTCATGTTTCATGTTTCATGTTTCATGTTTCATGTTTCATGTTTCATGTTTCATGTTTCATGTTTCATGTTTCATGTTTCATGTTTCATGTTTCATGTTTCATGTTTCATGTTTCATGTTTCATGTTTCATGTTTCATGTTTCATGTTTCATGTTTCATGTTTCATGTTTCATGTTTCATGTTTCATGTTTCATGTTTCATGCTTCATGTTTCATGTTTCATGTTCCATGTTCTATGTTCCATGTTTCATGTTTCATGTTTCATGTTTCATGTTTCATGTTTCATGTTTCATGTTTCATGTTTCATGTTTCATGTATCATGTATCATGTTTTATGTTTCATGTTTCATGTTTCATGTTTCATGTTTCATGTTCCATGTTCCATGTTACATGTTACATGTTACATGTTACATGTTACATGTTCCATGTTACATGTTCCGTATGTTTTGTTCACATACCATTCTCTGTTTCATGCTCCTTGTGTTTTGATTCATGTTCCACGTTCCACGTTCCATGTTCAATGTTCTATTGTCTATGTTCAATGTTCTATTGTCTATGTTCAATGTTCCATTTTCTATGTACTATTTTTTGTGCTCTATGTTCTATACTCCATATTCCATGTTCTATGCTCTATGTTCTATATTCATATTCTATATTATATATTCTATGAGCAATGTTCTATATACTATATTCCATCTTCTCTATTCTCTGTTCTATGTGCTATGGTCTACATCCTATATTTCCCCCCGTTTTGTAATGAATTGTGAGACGGCAGTGTTGAGGCTTTCACGTAGAATTTAAGTTTATTTCGTTCATCTACGTATAGAGATCCTCAGGTAAAGAAACGCTTAACTATTAAACAATTAATTAGAGCTGCTTTGTATGCTGAACACCCTCGTTGGGGATGTTCTTCTCCTGCCAGTTGTAGTCTGATGTGCAGTCCGGCGTACTAGTCTGTTCGTAAGTAACGTATTGTTCATTGTCATTGTCCATATCGTTCTCTGCGTAATTGAGCTTCTTCAGGTCTGTTTCGACAACTTGGGGATCCACTGCAACAGTTGGGACGGCAGAGATCTTGGCCTTGGAAGTCAACAGCTGGGCCTTCAATAGTTGCAATTGTTCAAGACGGCTGTTGATGGTCTTCCTCTTCCACACGTACAGCTTGGGCAAGGTGAAGAGCAGCAAGAAAACTGCAAGAGATGCGAGTTGACGGATGTTTCATTGGTGCCAAATAGTCGTTCTCTTACCCACTAATAGGAGAGTCATTCCGTTGATATAGTCGCCCACAATGTTGAGACCGCAGAAGATCAGCAACAATTTGAGCGAATCAAGCATATCCTCGACGAGGAACAGGGATCGGCAGCGCAAGAGTATTGGATTTAGCTTTGAGACTAACATATGAGCCAGCTGCTCGGTTGTCTTCGCTGAAATGGTGACGTCCATTTCGAGATATTGCTTCAGCGGATGCTCCACGACACAGCTCTTGCGCAGCTTCCGCATGCCCCACACGTAGCAGGAGTAGGAAATGGTCAGCGATATGGTTATAGCACCTGCTACGCTTACCACGCTGATGACCGGATTAGTGGCCATGTCCAGCAGCAGCGTCAACACCATAATGAACAGCAGCCCCGTCTTGCGCCAATTGTGCCAGAGCAACAGTGCCTGCCACGCCGCCAACGGGGCAGGCAAATTCTGCTGCACGCGCTCATTTAGATCCATCATTAATTTAGTTAGCTCAAATGGAAGAGATTGTAATATTGAAATCTATTCCAGGCAGCAAGTGAGTTCATACCTTTTATGTTAGGGATATGAGATGCCAACTGTGATTCCTATAATTGGAAGCTTTCAAAGTGAGAAAGAGTTGAAGCTAAAATCAAATATTGAAAATATGAATAGAGCAAATTGTTTATCCATATAAGAGGCTTGAAGACAAACACAGCTTGCCAAGCAATCAAGTTTACATGCCACATGTTGCCAGGTGTTTTCAGCTACCTTTAGACGTAACTTCTTACCCTATATAACAGCATTTTTCTGTGTGTTTAGCATAAGCAATTCCTCTGGCATCTGTACTCCCTTGTGGCTTAGACCGACGTCTACTTTGCATAGCTTGGCATTCGTAATATGTTTATTTAAAACTGATTGCATTTCTTATCAACATATAGACCTCCCTCTCCCTCTCCCTCTCTCTCTCTCTCTTTCCCTCCCTCCCTCCCTCTCTCTCTATCTATAAGTATTTGATTGCAGCACGCACAGTTTTGGTCGCTTTTGATCTGTTGCGCCAACAAGTGTCAAGTTTAACACTCCGGCAGAACCTATTGAGACTCAAGGAGTTGAGCAAACAGCTCTTGCAGCGAGGTGTCATCGGCCATCGGGTGTCACGGAACGAGCTCTTAGCCTTCTGTGGCTCCATCGAGTGGCATTTGCCAATTGATTTGTCAAAGGAATTACGCTGATATTTTGGGCAAATAATAGAAATCAGTGGCGTTAAAATGACATCAAGTGCTCGACAACCACCCTCAAAATTACAAAAAAAAAACCAAAATTGTTGTAAATTACTTGCCAGAGTCCAAGTGCTCAGCACTTGAGCCCATTCGACCGAGCAAAACAAACATAGCGTAAGCAGTTTTCTTTGAAAAGCACATAAAACAAATATAAAAAAATATTAACTAAAGTATTTCTCAAGATGTGTGCGAAATAATAGTAGTGAAAAGTTGAAGCAAAATTATATATATGTGTGGATAATATTTGGGGTATTTTGGATATGACTTAAGAGAGCAAATTGTTGCTAATTAAATATGTATAGTAGATATAAATGTTTTATAAAATTTATATTTATTTTTTTAAATGAGCAGTGCGCAATATAAATCATGCATAAAGCTGAGTAACTAAAAGATTACTGAGATATCTTAAAAGCAGAAGTTAAAGTTAAATAAGTGAGGATAGTCCAGATGAGCCTGCTGAGAAAAAATGCTTGTGTAATCTTATAAAATTTAGAGAAGTAGAAACAGATTTACAAACTTGTTTTTACATCTTTCAGTTGGTATTGCTCGACTAGCAAATCCCCTGAATTTTGTAAAAGAAACTGCTGCACATGAACATTTTTTATGAGCCAAAGCATCTTCTGCTAGCTATTAATAATTGCATGAAGGTATAGAATATATAGGTATAGAAGGCCCAATGTATTCATAAAAACAATTAACATATGCTTAGTATATTGAGTAACTGTTGATAGTGGAGATGTGAGCAGTCAATAACCATGGCTTGAGTTGCTGATGCTGATGCTCTACTGCGATAAGTGAGCTACAGCCATCTTTATGCTGTGCCGATCTGAGTTGGGAAATATGCAAATATTTGAGCTACAGCAGTTGATGCGGCAGTGAGCTCCTTTTGTTCAGCATTTTTATATAATAACTTGTATCTATTGCCTACTGTCCACAGGCTATGATTTACTTCTGCTCCTAAACTCGATGGCTTCATGTTGATGCTGCTCGTCAATTACTCAATTACTCCTGTAGTCATGCTAAAGTCTTCAGCAGGTGGGCGTTAATGCTTGAATACACAGATTAAAGAAGTTATAATACTATTATGTCATAGACTATTTATTGTAATAATCAAAGATAAGTGCAACTCAAGTGGAGTGAGCATATTATTATTGCTAATATTTTTCAAAGGAAAACAAGAGAAATTAAGAAAAAAAAAACATTCTCTTAGTTCAGCTAAGCATTGAAAAAAAGCGCATATTGTCATTTAGTAGAGTCAAAGATGTCTACTTAGTTCACTCATACAACATTCTAATTGTTTCCGAATACGCTCTATTCATGCCACTTATATCGCGTGTGCTCATCTATTATCAAGTGCCTTGCAAATCAAATAAGCCTCAGTCAAAGCACACATGCCTATACACACACACACACACATACATGGGCAACATTGTCAACCATAAATTTAACTAATATACAACTCGGCCTCACAAGCCCAACCCCAAACCCAACCCAAATGCCGGCCAGGTCGATAGGAATGTGGTGCAATAATCAAGCCAAGACTCGGCCCAAGACTCGAATTACAGTTACAGTTACAGTTACAGTTACAGTTAAGGTAACGCATGGCAATGGCCATAAAATGACACTGAGTGTCAGTTTCAATTAAACATGTTGACAGCTGTAAGGGCAGCATAGCCAAATATTCAGCAGCCGACGCAGCTACAGAGCATGTCTGAGGGGTTGTTCAAGCAATTTCGATTTTAATACAAGAAATTCCAAGCATTGTTTGGCCATGTATTGTATCGACTCTATGTGTGTGTGTGTGTGTGTGCGTGTGTAGATATATTCATAGAGCTTAGCATTTAAATGACAACTTTATTCCAGAGTTTCGCCCAGTTTTTTGCAAGCAACGTCTTTGATTTCTGACAGCCAATTGTAAGAAAACATTCATGGCTATTACAATTTAAAGTAATTTTATGTGTTTTCGGCCTTCATTTGCATTCATTCATTTATTTGTTTGGCATGTTTTGTTTGTCGCCAAAGATTAGACGCCTTAAGTTGATTTGCTTGAGATTTTTCGCCAGCTTCGTTCATTGGCCCATTGACAAGTTGTCAAATGTTTTATTATGCTCTGCGGACATGTTGTCTCGGCTCGAGGGAATTTAGTTTAATTAAACTGCCGACTTTGGTAAATACGAGTATTTCATGTCCTGCACACATGACGTTTGCATATTAATTTCCTGTAATTTTGATTGAGTTTTGCATAAATTTGCAAACTGACCGAAAGCCAAAACTCAGAGCAGACCAAAAGAAAGCCTGGCCATATTTTCCGTTTGCTGGCCAGGCATTGACTCGAGACTTACCCTCAAATCAAGTAGCTGTAATGCCTATTGCCAGCCCCAAGCACCTTCAAGTCTCATTTGATTGCAGCCTAGCAAAATGCTAAGAATTTTTGCGTCTTTTTTGTGCTATTTGCTCGAGCTGGGTTGGGGCTGAGGCGCTTTGTTTTCGTCACGGGCGAGTGCGAGTGGCGAAAAGCAATCACAGAGCAGTTGCAGCTCTAGTACAAATATCGGGCGCATTTTTCCCTGCTGTCGAGGGTCTTTTGTATTATTGGCGAAATTAGAATTTCTCATTAAAATAAGTGTTGCTGCTGCCGGACCCGGTTGACTTGACTTGAGACGCATTCGCTTCGAGCAAGGTGCTCGGCCATGGCATCGGGCTTAAGTTCCCAGATTTTGCCACTTCTACTCTTGCCGCTCATTAGTTGCGCCTCAAAACTGACAGACAGTCAGACAGTGTCTCAGTGCTCTGCTTCTCAGCATTTGTATCTTCATATTTTTCTTATTCTCTCCATTGTCCTGCTTCATGACAGCTTTGCCACTTGAGTTTCGTTGCCCATTGGGGAAGCTGTGCAAACACCTTGCACTCTGAGCCGCTTCGCAGCATTTTCAATTTTTAATGGATTTTGTATCCGAGTAATTAAAACTGCAACTCTTTTTCTATTTTTCTTCCTGGTTTGTTAGCTGCTGTGCCACGTCTAATAGGCTTAAAAACTGAAACACTTGGCATTAGTGTATTAAAAAATGTTTCTTATTTGCACTTTGATTGTTGAAGCAGCTGCTGATTTATCAGTCAAACCTTTGAGCTACTCTTTAGCCCTAATTGTTGCTAGAGTAATCCAATTTGTGGTTTTTAAGCACGTTTAGCAACCCTTTGCGGGTCGTAGTTGGCGGGGAGCTTTGTAATTGATAAAGGCTGCCAGTCAAAAGGGAGAGAAACTAGTGGATGGGCAAGTCTTTCAACTGTTACATCCTTTCTGGGCAAGTCTGCTTAGCTTGGCTTATATGGCTGCAAGAGATTGAAATCTATTCGAATCATAGAGGAAGCTGAAGACCAGCTGCCTCTTTTATTATTGTTTTTTTTTCTTGCAAGCTTAGTTTGAGAAAATTCTAACTTAACTGAAAATATTTTTTAATTTATATATTTTTTATTTTTCTATTTTCTTTAATACTCACATTCAACTTGGTAATCTTTCAGTTCACCCTCGGCATATGAGCTGCAAGCTGCTGCTAAAGACTTAAATCTATTTTCTGCTAAAATCACGCTATATTCATATAAAAGCCTGAGCTTCAAAGTTTGTTACCTTCTCAATTCATAGTCCAATTGCAGCTAAAGAATTTGAATTTGAAATATTAACATTATTAAATATAAAATTGCAAACAAATAAGAGCGCTCTGGTTGGGAGTGCCTGACTAAAAGACACCCTGAACTCTCATTTGATTGCTGAACAACTCAGGCACATACACAAACGCACGCGCTCTGCCGACTGCGCAGCGACTGCGCTAGAGCTGCACTATGAGCTTTGCTATGGAAATTAAGTTGCTGAATAACTTTTGTTGCCAAAGCACAAGTATTTGAAATAGTAAGTCTGGAATTACCTTGTTCAATGGGTGCAGACTGTAGAGTATTAAATTATTATAGCTACACTCATAGGGGCGTGGCAGTTAAACAAATTATATGTGCACACACAACTGGTGGCATTTGAGTCTCAATATCTGTATCACTTCTGCAACTCAACTGCCCAGAATTGTGCTTTACTCTGATAACTCTACTATAGTTTTATATATATATATACTGATATACTAGAACTATTACCTATCTGTATCCACTTGTTATTGGTGCTTTAAAGTTATTCTAATATAAGCTAAATACACGATCTATCGATCTAGTTTTCGACAATTTCATAAATGCAAAAAGTGAAGTGTTCACAGTCCAAACTCCAAATCGAGAACAAACGCATTCAACTTAAACTTTGGCCTCGACTTTTGGCCATTTTGGTCATTGAATGGCGTGCAACAGTGTTGCAAGTGCGGCAACTGTTGGGCGCACACACATACGTGGCCAGATAGCTACATTGTTGAGTAGGCAAAAGTTTTGAATTTAACTTTTGCTTGTTTCATTCAAGTGGCGGCTGCGGCTGCCATGTAAAACAAAACTTTATGCCAAAAGCCACAAAAAAGCAACGGGAAACTGTTGCTGTTGCTGTTGCAGTGGCAGTGGCAGTGGCAATTGTTTGCTTTCTGCTCAGTTGTGTTATTATTGTTCTGTGGCTTTGGCATAGAGTAGCTGCTGAGCTGACAACTTCGATTCCCAGCTGCTTTGAGATAAAATACAATTTTTGTTTTTAATTAATTCTGTTTCACGTTTTGTTGCTATTTCTGTTTGTTGTTAGCCTGAAACGTGTTTGGCATTCGTGTCTGTTTAACGTCTTAACTGCTCTGTGCAGGTCCTGTTGTCCCTCCCTTAGTCACTCCCCCTCTCCCTCTCTCTCGCGGGCAATTGCAGCTTCCGTTTGCTTTGCTGCGAGATTTTTACTTGCATTTGTTTATATTAAGTATTTTTTCTAGCTTCATTTTTTCTCTTCTTTTCTGCTATTTGCTGTGCACTGCAATTAGCCACGCCCCTAGACCCTGGACAAGACAGCTGGCGTCTGCTGGCCAAAATTGCTGTGCATAAAGAGTTTAAGTTGACATTTTTAGCAACAGTTTGTAATTTGGTCGTCGCGTAACCCTTTGCCCAGATATTTGCTAATTTTTTCCCCTTTACTTACAATTTACTTGCAGACTGCTTAATTGCATTTGCCAAAAGGCTCGCCCGCTGCTGTTTTGCATTTTGATTTCGTTTCCCGCATTGTTGACAGCACACTCAAGCGAAAAGGTGAGTAAGAATTTGAGTGGAACTTTAAGTTCTTCAACTTTTCTTAAAATTCATTTGTAAATTATAAAATCATAAAAAATATTTATACAAATTATGCATAAATGTTTATGGTTGAGCTGCATTTTTATGAGTCTAGAGCCGCTTTCAAATTAAGTCGCTCAAGCTAAAAGCGCGCTTCATATTTTACGATCTTTGGACATTTTATGTCAGGCCTAACCCTTTGCTGAGGGTTCTTTGGCACCCGCCATAACTTAATTATCCATATGAATCCTTCAGTTTTATTGCGCCTTATCCAGCTGCGGGTCAGCCCTTTTAATTATGATGAGTACTTCACTCAGCTCTCGCTCTCTCTGCATCTGTCATATTTTTATTTATCTAAAGTGGCAAATCTTCACGGGGCCCTGCTCATTAAAATGACATCAAATCGAGTCTGGCAAATGTTTTATTATTGTTGTTGCCATTTTCTACATTTTCCACTTTCCACTCTCCCAGTTTTATGTCCAGCAGCTGTACAGCAGCCACATAAATTTATGGTTTGGGCTGTTAATTTTATAAGCCCGCGGGCCCACGTTCAAACTGCTCTCTAAATTTGAGGCACTTGCAACACATTTTAATAAGACGCACAAGGAGCAGGAGCTCTGGCATGCAGGAAAAAGGCTTTTGTCTTTGCGGTTGCGGTGCTTCGGCTGGCATTTGTCATTGTTTTGTGGTGGCGCCACGATGCAACGCGTTGCTGCGGTTGCACTCGCAGGCCGGGCGGGCTATCTCGACCGACGCTGTCTCTTTGAAGTAAGCAGCAGAGATATTGCCTTACGGCTAAGCCTCATTTGTGGTCAAATTGTGTGCTGTGCATCAGCCTAAAGTCGATTGTGTCAATATTGTGCCATGGCTAATGGCTAATGGGTAATGGGCAAATGGGCAACGGGCAATGGGTAATGTTTGCGATAAGGATTTGCGTAAGTTGCGGCCGCTGCCAGCGTTCGATTACCTCGGCTCATATGCTAATTAGCGCCTGCCGATTAAACTTAAAGTGCTTCGGGGCCTTACAATTCCATCGCATTTAATAGCGAGCCACAAGCCCATATGGCCAACTTTGCGCAATAACAATCCAGGCTCATAAACTAGCTGTAAAACACATAAAAATCATTGCATACATTTAGGAGTCGAGTTACAAATGCCCCAGAAAAAGGGGTTGCTGCAAGGACCCGGTCGCTGCTGGCGTAAAAAGGAGTAGCAGCATTTGCACATTAAAAACGCATAAAAATCGAGAATTGAATTGCCAAACAGCAGCGACATAAAGTGGCCCCGAAGATAATACAAAAAGCAAACAAATCTGAAAGTAAAATTGAAGCAATCAATTAAAATCGATCAATGAAATTGAATCACGTGTCACAATTTCCTTAAATCCATTCACAGCCCGCAAGATTGAAGACAAATAAAATGTGACATTAACTTGAAAGAATTTTGTAAGCACTTAAAGCAATGGGAACTACTTGAAATTGGGCATATAGATGTGTTTAAAGTTAGTATCTATAATAAAGTAAATATATTTATATATATATATATATTTATTTATTTAATAATAAATAGTAGTGCGCAGAAGTCGCTGATTGCCTTTGCTGAAAGCATGCAAAAACTGACTTTGAAAACTGAATCTTATATATCTTAAGAATGTTATTAATCTTATGAATGCTTATAAATTCTCTTAAATCTCTTAAATGTTTATACGAATAGTTTTTGGCATGAAGTAATTTAAAAATTTAGATAACTTAAACAAAAATATGTGCTTTTATTTTATTATATTTTTATATATATTATTTTTATATATTTTTATATATATTTTATTATATTAGTAATAAAATAATAATAATAAAAATAAAAAAATTTGTACTTAATTATATATATAAGCATAATCATTAACTAACTGCTAATAAACAACAGCATTTGTATTCTAGTCTAATTAGTAGAGGTAAAGCTTTATCTTAGCTATAGGTTGCATTAACATTAACATTTAAGACGAGTTCAGTTGGGAGTAATCGACTAGTAGATACTCTGATTTGGGAGAGATATTAAAATACTTGTTCTCTGTGAATATTTTAGTACAGCTATAATTATGTGCAGCTGAAACTTGATGTAGACCCTCATTCATTTCATTTAATTACAAAACTATGTTGATAATTTGAAGCTGACTTGAACTGTGCATGGTCTAGAAAGACGTGTTTTATGTTGCTTTATTCAGACAGAAGAATTAACATAAATAAAGAGTGAAAGACTGGCTATTGGCGGAAATACACAACAACTGGATGCTGGCTTCAATCGCCTTTGCTTTGTTTACAAAAACAAATAAATTAATTTTCAAATGGATACAGCTTAGCAGGCCGAAGAGAAACCAGCAATCACTATAGCTATTTGCTGTATAGAGAATTTATTGTATATAAATTCAATTTCAAAAAAATTTCTGTCCCCAAGCTCTACCTTTTGCCAACCTGCTGGCAATTGATCTTTGTCCGCTATCTTCTTGTGACTTCATCATAATTGTTGAAGAGCTGCTTGGACAGGGCATGTTGGCATATTACCTTTACATCAGCCTGCTCATATTTGTTGTTTCAACAAAGCTCTGTTTAAGCGTTGCTTTAACTACACTCGCTTGCCATGGCTTAATATTGCCTATCAATTTTTATTATAAATAGACTTCGATCTACTTAGACGCAGTTCAATTCATATTGCGCTTAGAACTTTGAACTCTTTCGGCAACGCATCAATTGTCACTCGCCTTGAGAGAGAGTTCAGTGCTCTCTGTTAACCCCCTCGACAGGACACTCTCCACGTCGCTGCCGCCGCCACCTCCAGCGCTTACCCCTCGACATTCCGAGCTATCAGTTGGCAGAAGCGAAAACTTTTATGCGCTTGTTAACGAAAGCGTGAAATTCAATGCGGACGAACGCAAATTTACGACACTGCAAATTAAACTTGATTTTTATTTAAATAAATTGCATTTTATGCGCTCGGCTAGGATGTGCGATGCCGTCGCGTCGTCGTCGAGTCGTAATAATAAGCAGGCAACGGCCATAATTTGCACCGGAATATGACGGCAGGATATGTGGCAGTGGGTTGTGGCTCGTGTTTGGGCGACGCGCTGGCTGCTTTATGTATTTTTATTTATTACACGCAGCATTGCCAGGAAATGTTTGTTGATTTTCCGCAGCGCGCGCACAATAAAAATCGGGGCCAGCAAAGGAGAAAAAAAAAAGCAAATTATTTTCTAGACGAACGCGCGTCTCTCAAATAAAAAAAGTACAGAAATTTTCCAAATTGTACAGAGTTTTTTTGTATAGAGTATGCGTAGGATGTGCTGATTGTCAGATGAAATTTGAATGCTGTTAGTAGTTAAGATCTTACACCAAATTGATTTGTTATGGCCATGATATTCAAGGTTGTGAATGATATAGAAAAACAAATTTTTCTGCCAAATGATTTTTATTATTTCAGACAATCTATCTTTTTTTATATTCTATATCTTATATAATCTAAGTTTTTAAAATATATTTCACAAAATAAAATACTTTTTCTACTAGCTAATTATTATTATTATTATTTATAGCAGATTTAAACTAGATCTGCAGCGTTACAGCTCAGCAGTGTATACGATATTCGTTAGCCGAAACTTGTACAATTATTGCCTGTTTCTTTTATTTACTTTTTATATATACGACCTCGTCGCCGCCGTCATTAAAAACGGAAATGTGATGCGTAATTTGTGCGCCGCGAAGTATGCAATGCTGAAATGTTGAATGGAGCCAGGCGAAACGAATTGATAAGGGCTTAACAAAAGGTTCGATGGGTAACGCAGATGTATTCTGCAAATCGTTAGGAGTTGCTCTGCGCCTCGAGAGCTCTTGAGCATATCAGCCTACTTAACTCTAGCCGAATTCTCTATCTGAATTCCATAATGAAAGCTCGTCTTTATGGCTTTCCTACTCGACAGCTCGTATTTTGCAAAGGTAGGGATTTTTGGTATGCAGAGTCATGACGAAGATGAGTCGCGCCTTCTCCTGTCGCTCGCCCAACGGCTCGAAATAGAAGCTCCTCAATAGGTGAGCCAGCACCAGCTTCATCATGACCAGCGCATAGCGCTGGCCCAGGCAGCTGCGCGGGCCCGTCATGAAGGGTATGTAGGTGGAGGGCTCGATCCTTGGCTGCGCATCACGTGCCCAGCGCTGTGGCTTAAAGGCCAGCGGATCGGGGAAGAAGTCCTTGCAGCGGCCCATATACATGGGCGAGATGATCACGTCGCAGCCCTTGGGTATGAAGAAGTTATCTAGGAAGAGTATCTGTGCTTTATCTTAACTTATCTAGCTAATTGGGGAGCAGCTTTTACTTACTGATGGTGCAATTGGCTGTGGCACGTCGCGCAGTTATGGGCGCCGAGGGATACAGTCGCATAGACTCCTTGAGGCACATTTCCAGATAGTCGAGCTCACGCAGCTGCTCCATGGTGATGGCTGTGGTTGTGTCTCTGCCACACACACGCCAGATCTCCTCGCGGCACAGCTGCTGATAGGCCACATGCAACGTCATGTTGTACATGAAAAACTTGAGCGTGGCTGCGGTCAGGTCAAAGCCACCAAAGATTATGGTGTCCACCTCCTCGCGTATGTCCCTCACCTGCAGCGGCTGACCGTCTGCCGTTCTAGCCAGCAGCAAGGTATCGAGCAAGCTGAGTGTTTGCTGTTGGCTGGACTCAGCGTCGCAATTGCGATTGGCCAGCTCCGAGCTGATCTGAGCCAAACGCTCCTTGATAATGCGCTCAGTGAAGCCGTGCAGAGTCTTAAGAACTTGCCTTTCGCGTGCCGCGAGCGGCGTAAGGCGATAAATGAGAGCACTGCGGTACAGCAGGTTCTTCAGCCGCGAGTCAAATATGTGAATAATCCTGTAAAGCAATGGATCTGAGGACAATATTGTCTTCATAAGGTCTATAGCCTACTCACTCTCTGACTGCATCGAAGTACTCCGACCTCTGACCCGACTGCGAGTCGACGCTTGTTCCCAGCGCCGTTTCACAGATGGTGTCCAGCGTGTAGCAGCTGATGAGCTGAAAGAAGTCGACGGGCTGTCGGTTGTCAGCCAGTGCGGATAGTCTGGACAGTAAGATGCGCGCCTGTCGCTCATAGACGTCCATGAATTGTTTAATCATGCCGTAGTTGAAGGCCGGCGCAATCATCTTGCGGCGATGCATCCATTTATCCACGCCGCTGGTGAAGACGCCCTCGCACAGCCAATTCTCGAAGACGCGGTAGTCCGAGGTCTTCTGCAGCAGTTGCTTGGCGCTGCATAGTGCCTGAATATCCTTGGGATTGCAGTCGAATACGTAGAACTTAGTGCCTAGCCAGAGCTTGCCCCGATGATCCTTCAGATGGCAGTTGATGAGCTCCGTCACGCGCTTAAACGGCCGCGGACCAATAATTCTCGCAAAGATGTGCAAATGTCCGATGATGGGCAGTGACGGCGGCCCCGGCCAATTGCTGGTCAGTCGATTGATGCGCGCCTGGTAGCGATACGAATAGATGAGATATGCCAGCACTGCCGCCAGCAGCAGCAGCAGCAGCCAAATCATCGCTCCGAGTTCTTGAGCCTAACTGCGGCAACTTATCGAAGCATTTGTGAATTTAAGTCACAGTCAGAGTCACAGCTTCTTGACCGAATGTCTTCAAATTGCACAAAAAGTATATTAGATGTAAATTTCTTGACGAAAAAGTGCACTAATGAACAGATCACAGCGTATTAGCTATACGCAAATCGATCGATTAGTCAATGTCTGGATGCGAAGGCGAAGTGACGCTTTTTACTCGGCTGGCAGCGCTTAAGTACCCCTTCTTGATTGCTTGATGATCATTTGTTTGGTATTTTGACAAATGTAAACAAATACTATAAAGGTAGTGACAGTTGATCGGCCGTTAGATGCCCTATGATTTAGGTGATCTTTATTAGACAAGAGTTGACAGAGTTCTTAAAACAAGTTTCCTTAAAGAAAGAAGCAAATCAACAAGTCCAAAATAGCTCAAGTTCCGCTGCTCTGTTTAACATACTCCCATAAATGTGTTAAGATGACAGGGTATATTGCCATAATTTGCACTGAGTATTCACAACAAAGTGCTTAGATTGAGTTCCACTCAGCTGGCGAATAAATAAGTTCAATATTGTTATTGCGAAATTATAAATTTGATGAGTGATCACGTCCAGTGCATACAAATTCCAGCCCAAACGAGTGAAATTTATCAACGGTCCACTAGCTGCGCAAACATAGACAAACGAGATTGGAAACGCCCAGAGAACTGAGAACGTTCACTTGGTCATTTACAGCGCTGAGCGCTAGTGGAACAAGTTTGCTAATTATTTTCAAATATTGAATTTGATATGGGATTTTTAGAGAACGTGTCACAAAATTGATGAGTTTATTTGTTTGTCAATTGAAAGTGAAGCCCAGCAATAGGCAAGGATATGCCTCTATCGTAATATTCTTCCTTAAATTTCAAATCATTTTCTAAGAGCCAAGATCCAATGTCAGGGTAATTATTAGTCGAGTTCACAATGTTTAAAAAACATTATTTCATAACTTTAATAAAAAATTTGACGGACAGTTTATATTTTTTTTTGCGCGTTCTTTGAAGTACCTGCGCAGGTAATGCGTGTTTTTTATACCTGTCGAAGTGCAAAGAATTAAATTTGGTAGCTTTTGCTGTTCATTTGAGAGAAACTGGTATCTGGAAGCATCCGGGAGAACTGAAATAAATATGAAAAAATATAGACTAACATGGGTAGTTTATAAAGTTTGTGAACTAAAAGAAAATGTTATTCAAAATAAAATTTATTTTTATTTTTTTTTTTTTTTAAATTTTTTTTTTTTCTAATTTTAAAGTTCATCCAGCAAATTTATTACACCTACACTCACTTAAATATTTTTTTGCTACTTAATTGTAAATGTGTGAAAAATATTTACACTGCAAACAAATTGTTGCTGAGTCAGTTATACCCAACTGCAAAAGTTCCACATTTCTGTTGCTAATTATGCAGTCACAGCTGACAAAATTCTTAAAAACTTCAGAATTTTAATTTAATTAATATGAGTATTCAAATCGCAGTTCAAGGCAAAAAAGAAAGTGAAATATAATATAAATAAATATATAGAGTTGAAACTGACCTGTCACACGAAATAGTTGTGCCTCATTAAAGGTTTTGACCCTTGCACATTTTAACTGCATTTTTTGTGTTCCTGTCAAATTAATTAATAAATGAAGTAGATTCTATTTATATTTGCACTTTTTTTAAATAAACATGGAAAATGGAAATGCTCTTGATTTACAATGGAAAACGTAGCAGACGGCTTCATTTTTATTTCATATTGAATTGAAACAAGTGGACGTTGAATGTTGACTGAGAGGAAATATAAAAATATATAAACATTATGAATTTATGAATACACACTTACACACCTGCACACACACACACACACTGGCATCTCTGTAGTCACAAATGATATGATATCGTGCTATCCATACAAAAGCGCATTAATTACAATTATTCATGTTTATTTGTGCGCTGCAACTTTTCCGTGTTAATTAGTGCAAATACACAGTCCTGTTCACCTTTTTTTGTTGATTCACAGCTCTTAGTGAGGCTCCATTGATATGCAAAATACATTGACAGTTGCTCGATATGCATATATCAGACTCTCATTAAATGTGGATAATATATTAAATATGGTTAGTCTTCAGCATAAACCAGTTAATTTGCTTATGTTCAAGGCAAATGCAAGATGACTGAAGTCCAACAAATGTTTGACATAAATTCCATTATCTAATGGATGCCAATAAACAGCGCACACAATAAACACCCACCCACACACACACAATGGGAGACAATCAGATGTAGATACAGTTGTGCACCTGACAGGACCAAAAGGAACAATGTCTCACATTTAAAATTAAAAGTGATGCGAAGCTGGCAAGGGCGACTCTGAGGAGAGGGAAGCAACGTTGCAAACTAATTTGAATTTATGCAAAGATGTCGAGCTGCCTATTACAGGGCTTAACAGGTTGATAGCAGGGTTCAGTTAGCTATGAGGCGAGTTTTGTTACGTGCTGAGGAAGAAAGCTAAAAGATAAAAGACTTATTCTTATTTATAATGATATAAATAATATTATTATATATATAATAAATCCTATATAAATTGCTATAAGCCCAAACTTAAAGCTAAGTGTTTAGCTTGATAAAAGCTAAAACTAAGCAGAGCATTGGCTTGTCTTCAGTGATCAATTTAATGAAGTCAATCATAGAGCCAAAGTTAATTAAGCTATATATTTTATTAAAACAGAAATGTCGTTAAAATTTCTATACAATAAAACCCGTTTCATTGCTATGAAATATATATTGCTGCTTTTTATTATTATTTAAACTGGTGTGACTCTAAAAACACAGTCTTTAAATATGAAAAATAAAATAAAGAAAAAATACAATAATAAAAATTATTAATAAATATTTACAATATTATAAATTAATAATGCATAACTTTATTAAATATTTAACATTTAAATTTATTAATTTAATTAAAAAAAAAAAAAAATAAAATGAACATTTCAAACTTTAGTTGAAACCAAGCTTACAATGTAAGCCTATAGGAAACTTCATTTGATGCAGCAATTATAATATAAGCTACCAATTCAATGCTTATCTTTCATACTTGCCATATTTCTCTTGCTCTTCTCTTCTCTCTACAGCATTCATTCTGCCAAAGTTAAATTTAATTCATGTCCTTAAAATTATTCACAAATTAAATGTTTTATCTTCAGTTCTTATTCTGACAAACTTAGCCAAGTTATGCCATAATTTATTAAAGCTTTTCTTAGAGCATTTTCAGTTCGTCTTCTAGCAGTTGACATTCGCTGCTTGTTATTATTGTTGTCTGTGTGCATGTTGAGCTCTGTAATTAAACTGCACATTATCAGGAACGCCACACATACACAGCTACACACACATCCACACACACACACACACACTTGGTTATAGATATGTATAACAAGCACTTACACAGGCACAGGGTGCGCATAATTATGCAGGCATTTGCATGTGTTGTGTATTTCGAGCCCCGCCCAACTGTCACATTGCATTTTGACCATGTGGCTGAAGTTAAATTTGGTCACATTTAATTATTGTTTATGCAAAGGCATCTTGAAAATGGCGATATTGTCATAGAAATGTGCTGCCTAATAAACGGCGTGGGCGAAATGCGATACGAGATGTATAGAGATTGATGTGAGAACTGAGAGTGATGGATTGGAGTTGCTATCTTTGCTTAGAGTCTCCAAGAGCAGATTGAAAAGTAACTTTATATTGATTCTACTTCCTAATCAAATCTAAGTCAAAGCTTAAGCTATGTCTAGAAGGGTTAAGAACTCCACCACCTCCACCTCTGCCCATTCTCTTCGATTCGTTTCCACATCAATCGCAACCAATTTAATTTCACAATTAAATGCAAAGACGCGATGCGTTTAGCATAAATTAACAGCATGTAAGTAGGCGCCGCAGGGGGCCAAACATTGTGAAACGGGTGGACTTTGGGTGTGGTTCATTGGTTTCAGGTGTTGCCACCAAATAAGCCGCCAGGCAGCGCTTCCGTTCCACCCACTCAATAGCACCGTCTCGCGGTGTTGGCAGCAATTTTCCATTAGTGTATTTATTGCAGAATCTAATTTAATTGACGACATCTCATCTAATGCATTTAAGCAAAAGGAATTAAATGGCTTTAATCGTACGCTTTGATTAAATTAGCCAAGATATTTGCTAAATTGCTAAAATACAGTCTTAAAAGGTCTTATGAATACGTGCGAATTCGCTTGAAGAAAAGGCAGTTCACATCTATCACGCGGCAGCTGTAACAACAGTTGATGGAAATAAATTTCGGGCTTGTCTGCTGCCAGACAGAAACACATGTTGTGCGTGTTTTCATTGGGTTTTATATCTGTAATCAATTGGAGATGTTGCTGTAGTAGCTGAAAACGACTTTCAGCTTTAAATTCCTTAAATATATAAAAAAATAAATTTTATTTTAAATATACGCAAAAAACAATGCAAAGTTAAAGCTTATTATATTCAATGTTTACATGTTTGGCTTTCATAAATAAAAAACAAAACTAGTTTACGAGCAGTCGTAGCAGTCGCTGCTAAGCTGCCAGCTGTAGTTTGACAAGCAGTGCAGCCAAAACTGCGCGTTTTGTTAGCGATTCTTAATGAACGGCTACGAAACTGCCGCTAAAAATTATTTTTAAATAAAAATAGAATGAATATTCGAAAATTATACATAATTTTTTATTACTATTAGTAATAATATACACTTAATAAAATAAACAAAATATTATATGGACATATTTATTAGGGATTTTAAATGAACATTAAAATTAAAATTAGAACTAGATATTTTTTTTTACTTTTATACTAAATATTACTACTAAATAAAATATAAAAATTAGTATACACAAGAATATGTACGTAGACTGCAACGTGTTTAGTTTAAAAACTGCGCGTTTTGCGAGCGATTTCGATTCGAATTATGTTATCTATAAGATAAAATTAAATACTAAAAATAATATCGTATATAATATATTTGTTTAATATTTGAAACGTATTATATTTGTTAATAATAATATTTGAGTTGATAACTAAATAAAAATATTAAATAAGATAGAAAACCATAAATTATATATAAATATAAATGATAATATTAAGTAGAAAAACTTTGACTTCCGATATAAATAATAATAAAAGAATAATATTTTACAAAAATAAGAATATGATTAAAATTCATAAATTGAAATACATATAAAAAAATACATGGCCAAAATGTATACAAAAATAGAACAAATTATATAAAAATAACAAAAATATATAAAACTAAATATAAAAAATTAAATTTTTAAAGTTATTTTGATTGTGAAAAGTTACCTACAAACTTTGAATATATAAAATATTGAAATATATAAAACATTATTTCGTTTTAAAACTGTATGTTTGCATACTGTAACAGTTGCAATATAAAATTAGAATATTTAAAAACTAACAACAAATAAACTAAACATGTGTATTTATGTTGCTAAGGCGAATAATAATGAATAATTTATTTTTTATTCAATTGGCTCTTCCTTTTGTATCTAAGTCTGCGTGGGTCTAACCATTTTGACCCTAAGCTTAACTATAAAAATAATGAAAATAATAAAAAAAATATTAAAACTACGACTACAAATTATAATAAAATATATGAACAGGTAAAAAATAAAAACATGAAAACATGCGAGTTTTGCTAGCGATTCTTAAGTAACTTTGAGTAAATTGAGAACTATTAAAAATGATTAAAATTAAAAAAAAACTGGAAATATATATATATATATATATATATATATAGATATACGTATATATTTCAAAACTGTGAGTTTTATTAGCGTTTTTTGTACGTACATTAAACAAAATGAAAATAATAAAAAATATATATAATTATAAAAGTATTACAAAAAAGAAAACTAAAAAAATACAGTTATTAAATACGAAATTAACTGTAATACATATACAGATACAGCATTTAATATGATATATATTTATCGGTCACAAATTTTCGCCAATCAAAATGACGTGTTAACGTCTTGCTTTTGGCCAAATATGCTAAGTTAAAAAAGACTACCGGTTAGCTAACCGCAAGACTTAATCAGCTTTATCTGCACCGGAGGTATACACGGGCATTAAAAAAGTAAAAATAATAATTATAAATATTACTCTTTAGCCGCATGCCTCGCTGCACAGACAGCAATGAAGTTGGTTGTTTTTATCTTTCTTTATTTTGGCGTCGACTTTGCCGTTAACCTTCGACGCGAAAATTGTTTTGTACTTATTTTTTTTTGTTTTAACATTCGGTTTAGCTGGCAGCTCACAATGTTTAAAGGTGTTTTTCAGTTTAGTTTCTGTTGTTGTTGTTGTTTGTTCAGGGCATAGCTGTGTTATGGGAGTACGAGTTTTTAATTGAAGGACGTCGGCGGCAATGGCAATTCGAAGGCGAGCCAAGTGGGCAAACAAACTGGAGTTCTGTGGCAATCTCTCACAGTTGCAGTTAACAGTTAACAGTTGCATTAGAGCCCAGTTAGCTGCCGTTGCAATTTGCTGTCGCCGTGTTCTTGTTGCTACCTTTAATTTACCTTTTTCGGTGATTGTTGGCCGGTCCGGTGCGGCAACTAGTCACGTTCCGTTTAGCTGTGAGCCGCCGTCCGGTTATTTCACTTGGATTCTTGGCAATTGCTGCACTTGCCGCTTGTCAGTCACTCACTCACTCCACCAGGGTCAAACGGGTTTTTTTTTCACATTTTCCCCTCCATATCAGCTGGACAGGGAATGGCCCAGGTAATGAATGTGTGCAGCTCACTGACCTTTTACCTGCCGATAGCCCAGCTCTATTTGCAGCTGTCACATATTTTAGAATATTATCCAAATATTGACATGGCCTTTGCGTACGTGACCAAAGACACGCAACTCTCTTATCCTCTGTGCAAACAAAGCTGCGGAATGTTCATAATTATCTGAGCCATACAAATGTCTATCTAATTTATGCCTAATTTATTTCTTTACATTGAAATTATAATTAAGACAAATTTAAATTGCAATTGTTAAACAAAGAATAAAAAGAACTACCTTGAGAGTAATATTAGACTTAATTATATTCAGAAAATTTTATTTATTTTTATTTATTCAGTATGTATATATTTTAATTTTTAAATAACTAAATAAAATAAAAAAAAAATAATATGAATAAACAGTCTTTTTTAAATATTCTTATATAGAGTGTTTGGCAAAGATATGTATAAATATAGATATAAATAAAAATAAAAACAAATATATAAATATATATAAAAATACAATTTATTATAGATATTTATATAAATATAATTAATACATTTATACATCACAAAAAAAATACTTTTTAAAGTTTTGAAATTATAAAATTATAAATTAGCCAGCTTAAATTATTTTATATTTTATAAACTATATTTTTATATTTTATAAAAAGTTTTTTTCTTATTTTTTGTGTTTATATCGAATATTTATTTGCTTTTATGTAAAGTTTAATTGAATTTCAATTTTAATTAGGTGTTTCTTTCATTTAATTTACTCATCTATGTAAATATGCGAACATTGTTTTGTTGACATTTGAACCACTGTGCACTTAGGCTGCACTTAAATAATATCAGCAGCGACCATTAGCCCGCGACAGGTAATCGAACTCAAGAAATCAAAATAATTTGTTGTCGCTCCAAATACATGGATTTGCGATCGAGCCTATATGCATATATATAGGGTATATATATACGTATATATTTATATATTTATATATTTATATGGGTGCTGTGCCAAGATATCTTTTTGTTTTGATGCACTGCTGCTAGCATCTAATTAACACAACAGTGAGTGCTAAAAGTCGGTAACAGGTGAGCAGCAGGTAAGTTAGCTCTCTCTCTGATCACTCTCCCGCTCTCTGTGTGTTGGCCATCAGCTGTTTTGGCTGGCCTGAGTCAAGCTGAGCTCAGCGCTTCGGTAGCTGCTTCAGTTCTGCTGTAAGCCGCCTTCAGGTTGCACGCGTCGCTGTGCGTTTTGTCGCGTGTGTTTTTGCTGCGGATTTACAGTTACATTAACAAACTCGTGTCGTGTGCGCTTGAATGCCAAATTTAATAGCCACTGTGGCACAACAGCAACAACCGTTAACAGCAACTAGCGTTTAATTTAACAACGTTTTCAAACTGAAAAGGAAAGAAACTTAAACAGAAACAGATATAAAAAGCAAATCGTTTACTTTCGTTTTTCCAACTTTCATTTTTGTTTGCCGCACTCACAAGTTTTCATTGAAAAAAGTGTCACTGTCAGAGGCTGTGCTCTATTACACAAAACCCCGTCAAACGGTGATAACGAATCGAGAGTTAAATACGACAAGTTGTCCCAAAAATACAAAAAACCACAACAAACACACGGAGTCGATATGGCGCTCATGGACACCGCTTGGCGCTGCCGCCTGATGATATTCGGAGTCGCTTCGCTGCTGCTGGTTGGCGATCTCTTCGGCTATGGCGGCTACAGTGTGCGCGGCGTTAAATCGGATCATCCGGATGAGGTGGGCGTGCAGGGTGGCGGTGCGCCGACTGGACCAGCTGCTGCTGGCAAGTTTCAGCAGAAGAATGCCGAAATCGACATAGGCGAAGGTGAGTGACTTCATGCCATATTCATTCCCCTATGCCATTTGCGTTGCATTTCAATGTTGTAATCGAATTTGGGTTTCTCTTTTGTTGTACGCAAATTTAAGCTTGACTTTTGTTTAACTGTTGTGTTTTTATCTTTTTTTTTTTTTTTTTTTTTTTTTGGCATTAACAACGCCAATTTTTACACACTTGGCACATTGCAAAATATCTGTCCGTCTCGCTCGCTCGCTGGCTCGTTTTTATGGTTTCCCTCAGTGCTGTCTGTTGTCTGAATTTTGTATAAGTCGCGCTTTATTTGCTTGTATCAAGGTCAATTTCGATTTATAAATGGAAGTTTCATGCTTTTTGATTTGTAGTGTAAGAGACGGCAACACGTGTAAGCGCATAATTGAATAAAAGCTTTGCCAACTAACCGGAATTGGCTGCCCCTAAAATAATTTTAGCCTTTTATCGTTTTACATTTGCCAATTATGACATAATTTTTAGTAACATTTGCAATTGACTTGCCTGAAAAATCAGTTTGCTTTCTGTGACAAGCAGTGCTTGTCTGGGCTGGGCTTCGTTTGAATTTGTACCCATGTTGCGTCGCTTAAGGCCTGAACTGTCTAGACTATTTCATAGACACTTAAATGTTGACATTTAACAGGCCATTTAAGTGTTGGCCAAAAATACATTGCCCCGAATTTTAAGCAGCTAATTAAAAAATTTACATTCGCGTTTTTTTTTTGCTCGTTTAGAACTAGAATTAAGTGTCTTAGATGACATGCCATTTGCGGTTTATTATCAGTGATCTTAAGGCACTTTTTTTGGAGTATAAAAAGTCTAGTTGTATATGATCTAAGGTAACAATAGCAGCTGCAGTTTAAACAATTTAAGCTAGTTTGGTTTGATATCAAATATGAAATTCATTTTTAGTTTTAGTTTCTATAATTTGGCCATCTAAAAAGGGATTTCGGGTGATATAAATTTAATTTTTTTCTATTTTGTTTTATACTTATCGGCCACAGATCTTAGTTAGTTTAATATGCTATATATTTCTATATTTTGTTCTATCAGTTTCCTTTCGCTTTTGTTCTATGGTTAATGTCTCTTGTCTGGTTTCTCGTGCAAGTCACGCAACAGTTATCGAAGAGGTCTCGCGGAAGATGGAATTCCATATTATTTAACACTTTACCCCTGCCCGTGCCCATGTCCATGCCCATGCCGCACAAATGTTTGAAGCTTGCGTATCGACAAGTCAGCTGAAAAAAAAAGCATATTTGTAGCCACTTTCCAATGCCAAGCGATTTGCATAATTTTATAGCTTCATGGTAGGCAAGTGACATAAGAGACGTAAATGCTTGCGTGGCTACGATTATGCAATGCTGCGACTCTCGATAGAGAGTTAAGCTCAATAAAAATAATAAAAAAAAAGTTAATTCAATTGAACGAAAGTCAAAGTGCAGCCTGAGGCAGTTAACGATAGAGCTGAGGAATCTATTGAGATTCGTCTTCAATTATGAGGTCAAATGGCTTTAAAGAGATCATTTTGAGAGCAGCTTATGTTGATGTTAACTGTAGCAAGTGCATTGAAAGAGATAGTCTTTTGGTTGTAGCTTAAGATCTTGTCAAACTTCTTGTTAATATTTCTAACTCGTCTTACTCGAATCATGTTATCATTGTCCATTAATGAACTTATCTCTAATCAGATTTTAGCTTCTTTGTCAAACTTGTAGCTGCACATCTTGTCAAGCTGCATGTTAATAATTAACATGCAGTTTATTAAGTGAATGCCAACTTGAGCGAGGTCTTACACGAATCAAGTTATCATTGTCCATTAATGATCTTATCTCTGAGCAGATTTTAGTTTTTTTTTGTTGCCTGATTGACAGGCTTTAGAAACATAGACTCTCAAGCGAGGTCTTTCCCAGTTGCTGTCTGTGATCGTATTTAAGCTTTTTTTGTTGCTTGATTGTTAACGGCTTGTGTTCCTGTTAAACTTGAAGTCAATATTTAACAGCAAGTGAATGTTAGCTTGATATTTTCGACCTGAAGCAGCAGATCTCAGCTCTGCTAAGCCTCCCAGCTCCAGTGTCGCCCCATCTACACTACATCGTGCTGAAACATGTTAATTTCCTAACATATAGTGTTTAAAGTAAATGTTAAATTGACACTTTAGACCTGAAATCAAACCGGAATAGCATAGTTCATTAACATGATCTCATCTGCGATTGCCTGTGAGGTCTCGTCTCGCCTCATTTCATGTTTGTGTGCTTGGATTTCTGCTGCTTTTTATTTTTTGCTTGCGCTGAGGTGAAAGTGGAAAAATGCCAAGCAAATAAACTTCACGTAATAAAATCAACGAACAGCGACAAGTTTTTTCTTCCCTGTGCTGGAAATCTTTGTGGGAAACTGCAGTTCAACTTTCCCAGCTGTCTGCCAAGGGGAATCTTTCACAATATTTCAATGGCAGAGTTTGAAATTCCAGTGCCGTGCACATTGTCTAGAGCTGCGCTGATTACGCCAAGTTAACAGGAAGCGAATGTCGAATGCTCGCATAAGATTTTAGAGAACTTGACTTAATCTGTGCTATTTTCAGGCATTTTATATTGAACTGATTTGAGCTAAGCCTCGACTTGACGCCGGGTGAAAACCAGTCAACCAGTTTCAATACGTAATCACAGCCGATCGCCGCTCCATAAATGATTGCAAACTAGTTCTGCGGAAATCGAGAGTGCCCTGAGATTAATTCTCAGCTATTGCATAAAATCGGTGTTAATAGCTAGCAAATGAATTGTGGATAGTTAACAGGGGTCATTATGTGGCAGGTTCCGCTCTCCGAGGTGAACGAGCGCCAATCCGAATCATTTGGCATGCACTTCACGTCGCTTGGCCAAGACAAGTCGCTGCTGGCAAGTGCAGTGCGTGATAAACATGCAGAACTTGCACTTATTTAGCGAGGCCCAATCAAAGCACAGACAGTACGTGCACTTAGACCTAAAGTGAGCTCATTTCAGATATTGTTTTGATAACAATCGATGACTCGCTTTCTTTTGCCTCGGCATCCAAGAACCACTGTAGATAGTCGTTGGCAATCAGGTTTGGTTTCGACAAATAAACTTGGCTAAAATATTCCACTGGCCATAAATTAAAAACCACAAATTAGACGCCACCCTGCGTGGTCTGCGTCACATTCCCAGATTTCGCCTCAGAACTCTTTTCCGCGTACAAAGTTCACAGCTGTTTGGGCTGGCTTGGGGGTAGCTCGTTGATTTGTGGCTAATTGCCAATAACTGCCAGTTGGTTTCAACTTATATTTAATATTTATACAACACCATAATTAATTAAACTAAACATCGACCAAATGACTAAGCAAATATTTACCCAAGCATTCAAATTCGTTTAGGAAAAAATCAAAGTTCAACGCACGATTTGGCCTTGCAGGGGGCGAGTTCTCACCGCATGGAGGTTGTTTATTAGAAAAAAATAAAAAACAACCAAAACAACAATGAAATACTTAAACAAAATCGAAACTTCATTCAAATATTAAACTTTGCCAGCTGCAAAACCGAAATTAAAAGTGAAATATTTGTACGATTCACAAGGGTATCTTGCCAGGGTATCTGCTAGTCGCACACAGCATTGTCAGCTTTTTTACTGGGTATTTAACAGCTAAATATTTGCGTAGATGTTTAATGAAACCCAAAGAGCTCAAACAAAAACAATTTCAACAATATAAATGTGCGCTTATTGTTAAAAATATTCCGTTTATTCAAGAGCTTGAGCCAGATGCTCTTTGGAAATATCCAAATATTATTTATATAAAAGAGTTGACTTGGAATTTATTAAAAAAAAATCTTTATATGTATAGAATATATAAATAATTTTTTATTTTATTTCAACAACAGAAATATAGTAGCTTAAGCAGTCGCAATTGATCTTTTACTGTAGAAATTTGATATACATATGACTATATATGTCTGTTTATATATATGTCAACCTGCCTTTCTATAATCTATAGTATTTTCTATGGCTTCCACAAATCGGAAATTATTTTTTTTTTAATTTTTTAATTATTATTTTAAAGTGTATTTGGCATTCGTCTTGACGTTTCTGTCGCAGTTTCTTTTGTGTTGATTTCCAATATTTTAGAATTTCGCCGCTGTGGCCTTGATGTGCTTATTTTTGCGCAGTTGAATGTTAGATATTTGTGGGAATTTTTAGCTCATAAAACCCAAAAAAGCAAAAACAGTCAACAAATTTAAATGTATTTTTAATAAATTATAGAACACGACTTTGATGAGTTCTCGGCAGCAGCTGCACTCAAGCCAGCTGCAGCTTTGACTGGAGCCAGTCTGAAAACCAAGTCACGGCTGTCGGATACCACCATCAAGGAATCGTGTCTGCCCAAGATGCTGTGCGAGCTGGCTGCAAAGCCCGAATACCAGCTGAGCGAAAAGGAGCGCGAGCTGCTTCGATTGATCAGGTAAGTGTGAGTCGTGATCGACTGCATATATATAGCTATATATATATGTATGTAGAGGTCAGCTGGAGCTTGTAGTTTGACCCTTTTAAGTGACAGCAACTAAAAGTAAAAACATTTCATGGCTTATTTGTTAAACACTTTTCAACTGCCGCTGATCTCTGATCTGCCTGTTCGTACAATGAACTGAGCATAAAAAAAATATGTTTACAACAATATTGAGTACCTGGCCTTGTTGAGCCAGCAGCATAGACAATTCTCTCTATTGGGTTGTGTAACGGCTGAGCATCGATCGAGCCTAACCTGCCTCACAGAGACGACGCGACGCTGTCACGCTGTAACCTCGCACTTGTGCCGAAGGTGAACTGTAACCGATTAGACTATACAGAATCGTTGTGTAGTGTATTTAGTTCTACTGAGCAGCTCTCCACACAAGGTAGCGCCGAGACAAAGCTGAAACAAATACGAGAGACCCTGAGAGTCATGCTCTTGCCTTACATAACCCATGTGATATATAGACTAACATGCTAAATGTGTCTTCCGCATTTCGTTGTCGTTTCTTGCAGATCGCCGACTATGCCCTGGATGATGAATATGCCGCCAAGTAAATGGTATTTTGCTGCCCACATGGGCGAGCTCATGCGTCACACTAGCGACAATCTGAGCGGACCCGCAGGCTGTGCCAATCTCTGGCCGAACTGCCCCATCAGCTCCAAGAAGCTAATGAAACTCAGCTATAAAGTGCGCGTGTAGATGCCAGCCAATGTGATCATAGATTATTAACTTAAGCACTAGATATAGTAGGCGTGCAAACACACACACACACACACAGACAGACGAAGAAGAAGATGAAGATGCGGGCCCTAAGCTGAAGAGACTTACCTATTGTACTATAAATTTTACGCTCTCCAAGGCCCCAGACTGGCTGAAAGACATGACAAGTGCCTCCTGTGACGGCTCGACTGATGTGACAATTTGTAATTTGTATCGATTAGCTCTAAGTGCGCTAATTAGTCATTAAGCGTGGCTAGTCTATCTCAATTATATTTTAGTTTTCTTAGCCTTAGTTGGACGTGCGTCTAATTGTAAATAAATGCATATTGTTATTTAATATGAATTCCAAAGTGATTTCTGCTTTTTTAGAGGCTCAACTAATGATGCAACTATATATATATATATATAATATATATATAGTATATAGTATATATCTACAAATTACGCTGCATCATCTTTAGGCCTTTTACTAGCTAAACGCCCTTCACATTTAGCTGTCGAAAGGAAAATGTGTTTATAATTGTTATTTTTAAGTGCTAGGAAATTGTCGTATTAGAGCTAATGGCAATTGTAATATGTGTTTGGCGCGTCGCACTGCAATCAAGTCTTGAAGTGTGACCAAAACCCAATCACGATAACCCAACAGTGACTAAACACTTTCGTTTCTCATTATGAGAGTTTTTACTAAAACGACTTGAAACCGATTTCCTCATCATTATAATTATACTGCACGAAAAATATCTAGCATGATCAAGCTACATTTTTTGAAGCGAATTAACTACTGTTCAATGTCTCAGAATTAAGTGTGAATTTGTATTTATTTTGCGTTTGAATATTTGAATTATGTTTCAATAGCAGGCAGATTGTTGGCTGTGTACTTTTAGTTAAATAATTTTATTTTACACTCTAAATTTTGAGATACATTTTATGTTTCACTCAGCTGAGATACAAAACTTTGGGCTGAACACAGATTGTATTGCCATGGTTTCCCTCGGCCTGTTATTTGGGCATTTGATATAGTCTCGATAGTGTTGACGATGAGTAAGGTTGTAAAGTTCTCAGTGCATGGCAGTCCACTTGAGGGGACTGGTCAGTGGGTGTTCATGCTTGAGCACTACAATATTTCATATTTCTTGAGATTCGCATTTTCAGTCTTAGCCTTTTGTTATTGATGGTCAGATTGGTTGTAAGCCAATTGGATGCGCTGTCAGTCTAGCAGCGTGTCCTCCAAAGAGTTAAGCGACTGCAGGAATTAGTAGATTTCTATATAGCGCTGAGTTTCTCGTAGCTTTACAGAATTTGCCTGTGGCAGGTATGAGAGCGAGCAGCAGAGTCCCATGGAGATATTCTGAAGAATATTGCCAGTTTGCTGCTTGAGGACAGAAGCCACTAAGCGCTCATTCCTCATTCATAAATTTGGCTTTGCAGTCATCTTTAAAAGTCATATTTCTATCAAGATCATTGTCTTTAATGGGATCCAAGTAACATATGTGGTAAGACATCTCTTCTAGTGGCGTAGCTGCAGGGTATCGAACATCATAGAACATTGGAGCAGCCACCGAAGCAATGGAGCTGCGTAGGTCGCTATAAAAATCTTCAGCTGCCCATTTGAACAGAGCTGTTGGCATCTCTATAATTGCTAATGAATCTTCAAATTCGTATGCAAATTTATTTGCATTGCATACTTTTGGGCAGAGTGCAATAAATAATTCGAATTCACTTAAAATGCAAATCGTTTGTTGACATTGCAAAGGTACTAAACAGTGAGCACAATATTTGGGCTCGCCGATTGCCTCATTGAACATGCTCGAGGCGTAAAAATGGCCACACACACCAAAAGCAATAACTGGAGAAGCTGAGCGGCATTCTGACAAACATATTAAATGGCTAATTAAGTGTTAAACAAGAGCCAAGTTAAGAAAGTAAACAAGCCAATTCGCCGAACGAAATTCTAGCCAATTTATGGCGCACATAAATAACTCAGCGAAATGTGGGCAATTTTTCTTGGACTTCAAACTGAGTTTGGCGCCCGAAACACGTTGCGTTTGGCAAGAGCTGCGATTTAGGCCAGGTTGCCAAAGACCAAAGCTTAAAGCATGTTAAAACAATCGCGCGAAATTACGTCTTATTTTATTTCTGCCTTCATTGGATGGCTTAACAGAAACAATAAACAATAAAAGTAAACAATTTGTAATATCAATGGAATTGGGTCAGTCAGCCGGTTGTTACGCTCGTTGCGTGCCAAAAGTGGACCTCGGCGCACTTTCATTGTTTCGATTTGGGGATGGAGACCTGTGCAGCTCTCTCAATTTTTGGTCTGACATTTGACAAGTTGTTTGCTGTTGTTGTTGTTGTTGTTGTTGTTGTTGTTGTGCAATGTGTGACGAGTGCTGGCAAGTGCAGCTTATAAGACTTTCAACAGACAGTCAAACTTCTATCAGTTTGTTGCCTAATAGTTCCGCATTGCGTTGGATAAAGCAAAGGAAAGGCGAATACTCTTACCCCCTCTTTCTCGCCCTCTCTCTCTTACTCTCCTCCAGCCCAGTTCCCACTTGATTCCGGCCTGTGAGCGTGCAACCAAAACGGCAACAAGTGTCAGGCAACTGGAAAAACATGAAAATTATGCGGCTCAGCATAGGAAACACAGCAACAGCAGCAAACAGCAACAATTGTTGTGATCAAAGCATTAATACCCTGTAAAAATTGTTAAACAAATTCTGTTAATAATATAGTAAAACTCTATCTCTATTTTTATCTCTATCTCTATCTCTATCTCTATCTCTATCTCTATCTCTATCTCTATCTCTATCTCTATCTCTATCTCTATCTCTATCTCTATCTCTATCTCTATCTCTATCTCTATCTCTATCTCTATCTCTATCTCTATCTCTATCTCTATCTCTATCTCTATCTCTATCTCTATCTCTATCTCTATCTCTATCTCTATCTCTATCTCTATCTCTATCTCTATCTCTATCTCTATCTCTATCTCTATCTCTATCTCTATCTCTATCTCTATCTCTATCTCTATCTCTATCTCCATCTCTATCTCTATCTCTATCTCTATCTCTATCTCTATCTCTATCTCTATCTCTATCTCTATCTCTATCTCTATCTCTATCTCTGTCAAGCATACCCTTTGCCAGCTCTTGCTAGGGTATCAGCACACTGCATTTCTGGCCTATATTGAAGTTGCTGCAAATGTAAGCCAGGCTAAGAGTGGGTGCTGCCAAGTGGCAGTTGCAGCTTAGCAGGCGCCGTCTTGTGTAACCGGGCAACAACTGGGGCTGGGACGCAGTCGGTCAAGCTTTGGCTTGTGAGTGATTGAGCGAGCGATCGACTGATTGTGTCAGTTCTTGTCAGCCATTGTCTGTTATTAGACTCAATTGTGTGGCTAACGGCAAGCACAGCTAGTCGACCAACTGACTCGATCTCGATGTAGATAGATCAGTTTCTGATTCAATGAGCTCGTAATTGAAAGTCAAGCGGCTCATTTGTCGTTGAACAAGTCGGTCTAACCACAAAGCGTGGACATTGACACGTGCTCCATAGAGCTGAGACCACGCACTTGACAAATGATTGGCCAAACAATTGCCAAAGTTGAGTTATTAAACTCGGCTGCAAATTGTGTTAATTGGACAGATCAATAGAGGTAAATTTTAGTGTGGAAATATGAACTGCGAGAGGTTCATAATCTCTGCACTAACTGTGGACAGGGCGTGGCTGGCCGAGATGCGCCTTAACGAGTTGTTAATAATTTGTTAAAGATGAGTTGTAAAATCAATATAAAATCTTATTTACAAGCTTTATGTGGTGTGTTAAAGATACAGCTATGATTTGCTTGTTATAAGCTGCTCGCCTAGCTCCAAATGCTGCGTGCCTCAGTTAGAGTAACCAGCGTATACTAAATTGTACTTTATATTTCTGCTTAACTATTATTTTTTAACACTTAGCCCCATGCAAATTGCTAAACTGCTTAACAGCTGTGGTCGGGGCTTGGGTTCGAGGCTTAACCTAACACAAGGCGCGCACCTCGAGCTCAAATGGCGAGCGGATTTGAGCGAATGTGGCCGAAGCTAAAGCAAACGCAGATTAAGTAATTGATATGCAAAAGCCAACTGTAACGCATACCAGACGCTAGACACGCCAGACACGGCAGACACGGCACAAGCCCAAGTCAAGAGGAAATTACAGGTGCAAAAGTAACGGCCACTAAAATGGAGAATTTCATAACAATTCATAATTGCAGGCAGAGAGAGAGAGAGAGGGAGAGAGGGAGAGGGAGAGAGAGAGGCAACAGCTGAGCTGCAACTGGTTTGTCCGCTTTTAAAGGTGTTGCACACACACACACACACACAGCTGGGTAGGCTCGGCTGCGCCCTCTACTTGACCATATTGCCTCACTTTCACTTGTCTTTGGCTTCTTTTGCTTCCGCACGAAACTTGGTCAAAATGCAAAGCAAACTTGGCCACCAACTTGACTTGAAGAGAGTCGCTTGCTGCTGCTGCTGCTGCTGCTGTTGTTGTTGTTGTTGTTTTTAGTTTTACACTTTAGTTTTGTCATCCTCTCTCTCTTTGTACTTTTGTTTGCTGCGCTTTGGCGGCTCGAAGCCGAGCTAACTTGGCTCAGTCACTCAAAGACTTTAAACGCACCAAGTTGCCTAGCTGCCTGGCCTCCTCCACTACACAGACACCATGAATCTGCGCTACATTTGCACTCTGTCGCTGCTGCCCACGCTGTACGTGCTGCTGGTGCTGCTGCTGGACTATGTGGAGCAGGGCTTGGCACAGAATCCGGATCCGCTGTTTGAGCTGCCCGTGCAGCTGGTCGGCTTTCCAGTGATTGTCCTGTCCGTGCGGCTGTCGCAGTTTGCCAAAAAGCTGGCCTACTCCCTCAACCCGAGTAAGTTGGACACGTATTGGTCGGTGTGAAAGTGCAACTGCCGCCCTGTGGCATGATTCAGCTTTTAATTTCTTTTCATTAAGTGAAAGTCAAAATATGTGCATAAATTAATAATTGCCCGGTATTCAAAGCAGCTCAAGCAGTCTCGTGTGAGTTGGGTTGAAAATCTATTAATTACATAAATATATAAATATATTTATATATATATATACTATATCTTATATGGATATAGCAGTCAGTAAGCTAACTACTCAACTCAGTCAGAGATAAACCACAGCTGCATAATGAATTCACAATTAAATTCAATCTTGATGCCGCATCCTAAGTAAAGTCAAAAGAAACTCTTACAACATTCAGGCAAGCCAAGCTCTCAGCTGGGTAGGCGCTGAGCATGAGGTAAACGCACTCGTTCGTCTCTTGAAAACCAGACTCAAATGTGTGACAAAACTGGCGGTCGAGTGGCTCAAATGGCATTGCTTGATGTTGGTGGTGCTGCTGCAGCGTGCACGTCCACTTAGCTGTTGCCGAATGGGGTCAAGGCTGATGGAGACTGTTGACAGCCGAGTTGTGGGCCCGAATGTTTTACAATCAGCCGTGCGGCTACTTGTTAGCTGAATTGAATTGCTGGCAATGTTTTATGTATGATTTCGTTGTCGGGTAAACCCATAGTCAAGTGGTTGATGACAAGCAATCATGAGCGCTAACAAGGGAAATACCAAAGCTGCACTCTCAACTCCAAATGCGCAAATTGTGCAATCAGCCACAGCAGCAGCAGACGCTGGCCAACTTTTTGGCATTCTCATCTGTTGCCACTTTGACTAATTTCGCGTTTTATAAGCAAGCAGCCAACGACAGCTAACTGCCAACTGCTACTAACATAAAACTTCCCTTTTGTCACTCTTGCAGATACGTACCGTGCGCGCAGCAGACGCGACGCCGGCCAGCCGCACGCCCTCGACGCTGAGTTGGCCAAGAAGGAAATTCTGCGCGAGTTCGGGCCACAGGCTTGCATACTCGAGGAGCCGTGTCGCATGCATGCCGCACGTTCTGCCAGCCAACGACGTTCTGCCACTGAAGGCAACGCCGCACCACATGCGCCCTGGTCCGAGGTCTTGAGGTAGGTCAAAGTTTTAGCTATGGAATATAAATAACTAACTGGCAAGGGTATGCTCGCAGTTGGGTAATGGCGCTTGCTTACTATGAGAAGACTTTAGCTTAGATAGAGGTGCCACTCTATGGGTCTATAAGTCTACCTATATTAGTAAGTTTAAAACTTTGCTTGAGTTTTGCACATAAATCAGTGAGAGTAGAATAAGCCAGCATAGTCCGCTAGATATATAAATAAATATATATATATATATATATAACTTTATCCATGGCTAGTCTTCCATACCAAGCTTCATTAAATACATATCTCTCTTCCATCGAACATTTCTTTTATAGAGCATTTGCTGTGCGCTCTGCTCTTAGCTTAGATCATTTTCTTAGTTATTTCTTGTTCAAGTGGAACGCTGACTTTATGGCTGCCCAGCTGACAGACAGTAACAACTTGAACTTCTATTCCCCTCTCCCTCTCTGACTCTCTTTCGCTCTATTGCTCATTTGGCATTCTCCTCTTGCAAATGAACATCTCGGATTGCATTCGTTATTGCTAGGTTGCAGTTTGGCGATGATGCTGCTGTTGTCATTTGGCAAATGAATGGCTTGTTTTTAGCTGAGAATGTTTTCCAATCAATTTTTATTATTTCTTCGCTGTTTCGTATCCCTTGTCATTGGCATTGCTAACTCATCTGCGCATAACTTAATGTCTGCCCTCCGTCCTCTGTCTGCAGTTAGATTCACGTACTTGCTGCTCCCAAAGTTTAAATGTGCATGTCATTGCATTGGCATTGCCATTGGCATTGCGTTTGGATTTCAATTTGTAAGTTTACATAAATTCTCTTTTTTCTTCCTGATAAGTCAGTTGCCCTTGCTGTCGCTATTGTCATGTTAATGCCATGCACGACTTTTCCGAGTTGAGGAAATTATTCTTTTCCGCACTGTTGGCCATTTCTTTTGCTTGCATTTCGTTGCACTGCAGTGATTCATAATTAATTTCTCTCTTTCTCTTTCTCTTTTATGCAATAAAAGAACTCTTGAGTCTTGGCCTGGCTGTCCACAGATATTTCGATATGGCAAACTCGTTTAAATATTTAATTCTTGTTTATTTTTTGGCCAAGCAAACGATAGTTTAAAACTTAAACAAAAGCTTTTTGCATAGAAATCTATGGCATACGTGTCGTATGCGCAACATTTGGCATTCATAGTTTTGGCCATTGTTGTAAATTTCATTTAATATTGTGTCATATCGCACTCGCACTCGCCTCAGTCCCAACGCCTGCATCTGACACTTTCACACTTAACATGCAAAATTTTCAACACTCGAAAGTTTCTTTTGCCCCCCACTTCAGGTCTCTGACCATAGCCAAGTGCTGCCCCCCCCCAACGTGTCAGGAGCAAATATTCAAAATTATTTTTGAAATGTGTTCTACGTCTGTCGCCCGTCCGCCCGTCCGTCTCTCCTGTTTTCCTTCACTCCCGCTCGTCGCTCCATTTTCTATGTTTGCTTAGTTTGCGTTGCGCTGCAAATGTAATTGGCATTAGAAGTTTTGTACGTTTGCCCACGACGTGTTTTGTAATAATAAAATATGATTAAAGTTTTTGATTAAATTTATGCAAGCGCACAGTGGACAGCCCTTCCACAACCCCAGCCCGGCTTCTGCACTGGTCAGCTCTGTTTTTGATGCTGTTGCACCTTTTTCCGTACAGTCGAGTCTGGGCTGGTCCAGCGGGCACTGCAGATGTGTTTGTTACCGAGTTGATTAAATTATCCCATTGCAGACGTGTGAAATTTGAAGTGTGTCTGTGCAAAGATGGGACTGATGCCTCCAGGTAATCAGCAACAAATAAGTGAGACGAGCGTAGCTTTTAGCCAGAGATGAATGCGTCTTGTACCAGCCGAACATGAATATTTTTAATATTAACATAATTTGATCTGATCTATAAAACATTTCCCCATTGTATATATATTTTCATTATATGCCACATATGCTAACTCATCCTTGACTTACTAAAAAGTGCTTTAACCTGTCACCGAGTCCAGGCCCAGTCTGCTTTAAAGCCCATAATACCTTGTTGCTGCCCAGCCCAATCGCTGCTCGCAAATTACTTTTGTTTTTCATATGGCCCCAGTCCAGAAGCAGAGCAAGAAAACTCTTGATTTTGGTGTCGGTTGGAAAGGGTTTCGTGGGTGCTGTGCTGGCTGGCAGACTTGTGTATATTACCCGCTACTTATAAGTAATTATTTTTGTAATCCGCTTTCGTTGCCGACTATTGTGCCTTCTGCTGCTGCTGCTGCTGATGATGATGACTGACTGAACATCTCTTTGCATGCGCCGTACTCAAACACTCAACCACTCAGGAACTACAAAGTGCAATCAACCGGCGGCTTGAAACAATGGTATCTGCTCTCGCTCTTTATCGGCGATGCTGTGCGAGATGTGCCGCTATGCAAGCACCTGGCCAAGCGGATGCCCTGTCCAGGCGCCGGACCGCTGCCGCCGCCACAGCCTCGCTAAGGACCTACTGCAACATGGGCGGGCACTTATTTTATTTTTATTTTTATTTTATATTATATTGTATATTGTAGACAGCGCAGTGGCGGGGGCTCTGCATCATCTGCATCATTTGCATCGTGTAGTCAGTCAATCGCATGGACATCTTTGTTACGTTCTTTCCAAACTCCAACTTCAGCTTTCCCTTCCCTCTACTCTACAGTCATGCTTCATAAATTCGTACTGCTAGTTGTTTTTAAGGGCTTTCATTTAGAGGACAGACCCAGCATAGGCTTAGACTTACATAAGTATGAAGAATAAGCAAATAAATCAACAAGAAAAAAATCAAAAATGGAAATTGTGTGAGTGTGTGTGTGTCTATGCGGGGGCATGCCTGCGCTTTTAAGAGCATGTATCCAGCCGCTGCCCCCACTCAGCCCACTCTGGCCAGTTCGAAGTTTCATTTGTTCGGACAATGCATTTTGCACTCGGCCTGCCCGCTCCACTGGCTAACCATTTGTCTGGTTGCAAACAAAAATTGATACGCCAAAAAGCATGCAACGGAAAAAACAGTTGCATACTTTGCAGCGCGGCGCACAAATTGTTGACGCAAGGCATTAAGCTGCAGACTCGTTGCACATACCCTGTACTAAAGCAAAGAGGCTGTGATGATGTATAAGATATATGAGTGAACCATTTGAATAATGAATAATCAATGAATAATGAATAATGAATAATGAATAATGAATAATGAATAATGAATAATGAATAATGAATAATCAATGAATAATGAATAATGAATAATGAATAATGAATAATGAATAATGAATAATGAATAATGAATAATGAATAATGAATAATGAATAATGAATAATGAATAATGAATAATGAATAATGAATAATGAATAATGAATAATGAATAATGAATAATGAATAATGAATAATGAATAATGAATAATGAATAATGAATAATGAATAATGAATAATGAATAATGAATAATGAATAATGAATAATGAATAATGAATAATGAATAATGAATAATGAATAATGAATAATGAATAATGAATAATGAATAATGAATAATGAATAATGAATAATGAATAATGAATAATGAATAATGAATAATGAATAATGAATAATGAATAATGAATAATGAATAATGAATAATGAATAATGAATAATGAATAATGAATAATGAATAATGAATAATGAATAATGAATAATGAATAATGAATAATGAATAATGAATAATGAATAATGAATAATGAATAATGAATAATGAATAATGAATAATGAATAATGAATAATGAATAATGAATAATGAATAATGAATAATGAATAATGAATAATGAATAATGAATAATGAATAATGACTCCTGCCTCCTGCATCCTGCCTCCTGCCTACTGCCTACTGCCTAGTGCATCAGTGAATAGTGAATAATGAATAATGAATAATGAATAATGAATCATGAATCATGAATCATGAATCATGAATCATGAATCATGAATCATGAATAATGAGTAGTTAATTTCAATCACATTTCTTACAAAAATGTATTATAAATTTAAATTTATTTAAGAATTTACAGAGTATTTTCCAATCTATATCTATCTCGTCTGCCACTTTTTTTCGTGCCGCTCTTGTTTGTTTCGCTTCAAGTACTACAACTACGGCTTTTGGTAAAATACACAGCTCCAACTCTAGGCTCTGCCCTGCCCTCAGCGCTTTGCTATTTATTAACTCGTTGCATATGTTTGCAGGCACTGTGCTGGGGCACCTCAGACCCACAGACCGCCTCCCCACGAGTGAGCGAGCAGACAACAAGCGTTGCTTTGAGCTTTGGTGACGTTGACAACCCTGTTTGTTGTGTGTGGGTGTGTGTGTGCCGCCGCACAAAAGTATGCTGCACTTTTTTGCACTTTGCATTTTTGTGTGATTTGGCTCTGTGAAGTCGTGAGGAGGCGTCCCATTGGGAAAATGTGGAAATTGTGTGCGGATTTTTTGCTGGCGGTCTTCCTCCGTTTTATCACATTTAATTTTTCAAACGTATTCCCTGCGATGACGCGCCGTTTGTCTCTAGATTTATGTGCCATTTCTTTTGCATATTTCATTTGCCTGAAATACTTGTTGATTTGTTGTTGCTTGTCGCCCTGAACAATGGCAGCAGATTAAAGAAGGTTTCTCTGTTTGTTGGTTTACAAAGTTTTTAATAAATATTTAAGTTCGTTTAAGCGATAACAATTATTTACAGACCTACAAACTAACAGGGTAACTGCCTCTGCAACTCTTTCTATATTTACACTCTACAAAGCTATCCGCTCGCCAGATAGACCTTTCGTCCGTCCGGCCTTATGTAGTACTCCGTTACCCCCTGCGAGTTGGTCACATAGATGTTCTTATTATCCTCATGCTTGGGGCTTCTCGTGGAGGTAGCCTGATAGCTGCTGCTATATCGATTGTGGCTTATATAGTTCGCATTGGGATAGTTGTACTGTGCTTCACCCAACTCGTCGAATCTCACGGTATTTCCTGGCAGGTATTCGCCATAGTTCATGAAACTCTGCCTGTGACTGTGACTCTGGTCACTGGTCTGATAAGTTGACGTCGTCTCTAGCCGATAGTGGCTGCTGGGTCTATGCTCATCGCTGACCACCAAACGCTGCTCCTTCTCTTCGACTTGGTTATTGTACTCGTAGCTGGGCGCGTAGGTGGGTCGATTGAGTATCTTGCCTCTGCGTATGTGCTGTTCGTAATGATCGGGAAACAGGACGCGGGCACCACGTTGAGGTGGTGCTGCATTCTCGTAGACGGCATTTGGTGGTGCATGTGTCTCGATTTGTCGATCCTCTCGCAGCTGCTGCTCTCTGAATTGCTCTTCTCTCAATTGTTGCTCCCGCAAACGCTCTTCCTCCTCTTCCTGCCTTCTCGATTGCTCTTCTCTGAATCGCTCCTCCAAGTCCTCGGGCTCCTCGTTGGTGTCCTTAAAAACAATGCGCTTGCCACGTCTCTTTTCCTTGCCGTAGTCTTCCTCGCCGAGACCATTGGGCAGCACAGCTGCCCAACCCTCGGCCAGCTGCAGAGTTTTGGCTTGGCGCTCACCTTCGCTTTGGTCTTGGGGAAATCTCAATTTTCGCTGAGCTGCATTACGATTGAATTCGTAGATAATTTTTCGCTGGCTGTCGTGCTGTGCTTCCGGCGTTGCATCCGGAAATCTCACAGCTCCGCTGTCATGCCCTTGATGCTCATCGCTTTCTATGTTTTTGAAGTGCAGTATGCGACCCTCGCCCTCACCTTGTTCTTCGGGAAATTGCAGCACACCTATCAGTTCGGTGTGTGCCTTTGCCGCCTCCGCCTCCTCATCGTCTTGAAACTTGACTGGCGTCTGAGTGTCTAAGCCATCTTCTTCATCATGAAAATCAACGGGCATCAAGCGGCCATTATCCGTCTGAATGTTGCGTTTAATTTCCGTTGGCAACAGACTCCTTCTTCTGCGGCGACGCCTCTGATACTCCACGCCGCTCATGTACTCGGACAGCACGCGGGTAAAGAAGCTGCCGATGCCATCGGCAATGTCCGTGCTGGGTCTTTGTGTGGGTCTCGCCACTGGCCGAGGCGTAGTGCGCGTCACCTGCCCCTGGCTCTGACCGCCGTTTGTTAGCGCCGAGAGGATGCTGAACAATGAGCCGCCGCTCGATTCGCTTTGTTGTGCCACAGCTGGTTGCTCTTCCGGCTCGCTGAAGAACTTAAAAAAGCCGCCGCGATGATTGTTCAGATAGTGAATGATTTCCATCTGTTCAAGGGTAGCAAAAGTTGAAGTTTTTAATAATCATTAAACACCCTTGATTGGTATGCCAACAGCCAAACAGCCAAACAGCTTACCTCATTCTTAGGGCATTTCTCATAGGTCTGAACGCAACTACGCGTGCCTCCGCTAATGCCGAGCAGCGCAGCGCGTCCGTAAATGAGCGCAGGTGAGGCAACCGGGAAGCCAGCCAGAAAGCTGGAAAATAATGAAAAGATTTATAACAACTTTAGAATTTGCTTACAAGCAGACACCAACTCTATCTAGCTGCACTCGCAATTCAATGATTATTATATTTCTCATTATCTAAGCCGGCTGCCTATAAAACTTAATTGAGTAAATGCCAATTTGCAGCGTGTGGGCAAAACAATATCAATTTACAGACAAGCTGCGTCGGACAAACTGCCCCGACTGCTGGCTGGGGCTCAATCAGAGCGTGGCTCATTGCGTATCAATATGGATCGACTTGCATAATGAATGAAGTCTAATCCCAGTTAACGCTTGCTTGAAATTAGGCAAACAGTCGGGTTGGGGGTTGCGGGTTCAGTTTGAGCAGTTGCCTTTGGTTTGGGCAATGTAAATTTAATAATATTTACTTACAAGTAAAGCCCTGGCCCTGGCAATTGTGGGTGCTACGACTGGTACTCACTTGGTTATGGCCGGAGACGTAATGAAGCCTGGCAGCTGGCCACGTTGCGTTTGACCGGCAATCATTTGGCAGAGCACCTTGGGCACACACTGCAAATCGTCGTTGCGTGCGATGTTCTCCAGGGCTCTAATGAGCTGTGTGTTGGGCGGTCGACTCTGCTGCCCCGCACCTTGCGCGCCAGCGAAGGCGCCTAAGAGACTGCCTAATGGGCTGCCACCAGACAAGGAGGAGCTACCACCACCACCGACACCGCCCAATAGCAGATTTGTAAATTGTGGCGCATATTGCTGTGTAGTGCTTAGCAACGTTGCCAAAGTGGAGAAGCCGCCACCCGCTGGCTGCTGCTGCTGTTGCTGGTAGGGTGGCCGATAGCCCGGCGCTGGGCCTGGATGATAGTTGAGCTGGGGTGGTCGCTGCTGTGGCGGTATCTCGCCAATTTGATACTCGTAGTAATTGTGGCCCGGTCGCTGCTGTTGCTGAGGCAGCGGCTCGTATTGATAGTGCGTGGGGTATTCCGACTGCGGCCGCGACTGCGAGTGGCTGGAGTAGCTGGGCGGTCGCTGCAAATAATTACCAAAGTTGTTTGCATAATTAGACGACGACGATGGCGAGTATTGTGGTCCATGTATCGATGGGCGATTCTCATTGACGTCTTGGCGATTGTAGGGCGGTCGTGGGTCCTCGCGGGGTCGCTGCGTTGGCTGCGACACGAAATTGGACGTCTGCTGGGCGGCATAGCTGGGCGGTGGGTAATCGTGCGAGTCGTATGAAATTTTATTCGATGTGGCAGCCGTGGGCGTCGTCACAGGTCGACGATAGAGCGTCGAGGGGCTCTCGTCGAAGACGTAGCCGGGTCGCTTCAAGTAGACCTCGTCCGCCACGCTGGGACGCGACGCATGCTGTGGCGACTGGCTGCCGACGAGCAGCGACGATTGCACCGTATAGGCCTGGTCCCCGTGCTGCTCGGGACGCTCGCGCTGATACTGTATGTAGGTGGGCGTGGTAGCTGTCGTGGGCGTGGGCGTATATTGATAGTTTTGCTGCGTAAAGGGATCCAAATAGCTGACCACAGGCGTGGTGGGTATCTGTGAGTTCTCGTAGTTGTGGAACGCTGTCTGTAGCTGCGGCCGAGACTCCTGCGGAAAGGAGAACACTTTGTCCGTGGCCGAGTGCTGCGAATGGAGGCTGGCCAAGGAGCTGGGCAATGGATGCTTATAGTTGGGCTCCAGGTAGCTGGGCGGAAAGCGTTGCCCGGCAGCGTTCATCACATCTGAGGGCGTGAACTCTAGCATCTGTGAGGGGCGAAATCCGCCATTTGTGACCCGTGCGGACGTCTGGGCGGCTATCTGCTCTGCTTTGGGGCTCACGTCAAGCAGCGGCTCCGAGGGAAAAAAGTTTTTCAGCTTTGCGGAAATGTGTTTCTGCCTGTCAGGAAATGGGCGGGAATATGGTTTAGTTGAGGTGCTGGTAAAATTTGCATAAATTAAGTTAGACATCAAGCCGACTCACTCGTCATTTCCGGCGCCATTTCTTATGCACGACACGTCGCCGACTAATGCGATAATTAGAAATGCAATTTTCCATAGCATACTTCGCGGCGGTTGTCGAAACTGCATGCTGCTGTCGTGGTGTGGGCGTAACTATGGCTGCCTTTGTCTCTCTCTCTCTGTGTGTGTGTGTGTGTTTCTTGCAATTGGAAATCCCCAGCTATAACGTCAGCAATTCATAAGCGTAAGCCACTTTTCGCACGTCGCCTGCAATAATAACATAAAAACTTGCTGTCAGACTTCGTCTCTCTCTCTTGAGTGCAAACTGGAAAAGATTGCGAATTTCTCTAGAGTCCTCGCGGCAAATTTCTCGCAACATTTGCACATAAATTTATAGATTTACCCCATTGAGAGAAAGGACAGAGATAGTGGGGGCTGCATTTGCATTCATATTAATGCAATTCTCACGTGCTCGTTGAGAGCTCAACGACGACGGCGACTTGACATTTGTTTAATTCCATTTTTTATGATTGCGCCGTGTTTATGCAGCCGCACGCGGCAACTCGACTCGACTTGGCAACGTAATCATCAGCTTTATTTCGACGCTGACTACGCCGTATAATCATATCCATAATCTTTAGCTCTTTTGGGTGCTCGGCTCGACTCCGGCTCTTGCTCGCTGCTGTGCGCCTTGTGCTAAATTATTCATATTATTGTGACTTTTTATTTGCCACCATTTGTTGACAGGCCTTAAAAGTTTTATACACGCTGTCTGACACGTCGACTGCTCTGGACTTTTATTTGCCCAGCTTTGAGACAGTCAAAGAATTGTGATTATAGAAACACTTTTAATAATGTATTGGGATAAGCGTTTTAATGCTCTTTGTAGACTAGATTGACTAACTCAATTTTACTTCTGTAAATATTATATATAAATATATATTAATTTATGTATGTATTTGTTTATAAATATTTTTATTTATATGTACTTTGTTTATTTATATATATTTTTATTCATAAAAATATTTATACATGAAAATATAAATAAATAAAAAACATACATTTAAAAATGATATATTTTTAAATGTACGTTTTTTATTTATGTATATTTTCATTTATAATTATTTTCATGCATATTTTTTATTTGTATATATTTTTATTTATATATTATTTTTATTTATATTTATTTATATATTATTTCTATATATTTTTTATTAATTTATATTTTTATTTATATTTATTTTTAATCATATATATTTTTAATTTATCAATTTTTTTATTAATAAATTTTTTACTTATACACATTTATACATAAAACTTTATTTATAAATATTTATTTTTGTTTATATATTTGCTTTTATATATTTTTTTATATATATATTTTAGTGTAACAATGTTTTTGTTTTCAAAATTATTTGTTGAAAATTTGTATATTGAAAAGTTGTATATTATTTTTAAGTATTTTTTTTCTTATATTTTTTATCTTTTAAATATTTTATATTTTTTTTTAATTTTCTGTAGATTTTAAAATCAAATGTTGTATATTTTATTGCTTGAATATTTTGTGAGTTTCTTTCCATAGAAATTTATGCCTACAAAACTGATTTATCATTTCCATAATTTGTCTAATATATATCTTTAATGTAAGGTAAAGACCATATTTATATTGACAAAAAAATTAGGCATAAATATCACACTTATAATACCTTGTTATTTGCTCAATCAAAATATTACGAAATTAATGTATTTCAAGTCAGTGAAAGTGATTTCTGAATTGGATGGATAAAAATTCTATTGATTGGCAATTTCTTGGCTTTAGCTTTAACACTTCATTCATTAAGTTTTTAACACATTTTTTGCCTTTCTGCCATAAATTTCACCATAAACGCAGCTCATTCAGCGCAGCTCGATTTGCATTTAAATGGAGTCAAGGTTGTGTTGAGTTGATTCGAGCCCATTTTTCTCGTCGAGATGACGCACGAAAAATTTCCAAAAATTTGTAACCGATTTTAAAGTCGAAGACATGAATCAGCTGGAAGAGCAGCAGCATTTATTATTTACGCTAGTCGTAATATAAAAACGACTATGCCAAAATGTGTTGCTCGCACATAAAATTTAAATTTCATGCAATTACACACACACACACACATTCGCACACACGGACTGACAGTCTGACTCAGTTGCCACAGCAGCTTGCTGCTGCTGTAACTGTAATTGCCCAAAATTTTATGGTCCAAGCAACGGCGGAGACGCCACAACGAGCAAGTACTAGAAAATTGCATTTGCTGCCAACAGGCAACAGAGGGCGCTGCACTAAAACGAAGACGAGCTGCAGCAGCAGCAGTAGCAAAACAGACTGCACTGGAATTTACAACAAGAAATGTCAGCTAATTTCATATGGAGCGGGGGCAGAGCAGCAGCACCAGGTGCTGGGATCACAAAATGCTTTGAGCACAACGTTTCGATTGTGTGTCGAGGCACGCACAAGTGCGGCACAACATGCTCAGTGCAAGGACTTGCCCCCCTCGAACACGAAAGGACACTTTACGCCTGAGATGAGCTTCAAATTTTGGACTAAAGACGAACACGGATATGGACACGGAAACCAAAAAGCAGCGTACGTGTTGTGCATGCGCTAGACCAGCTGGCCCTGTGTGGGCGTGGCATGTTCAATTTACTAGTGCTATAATCGCACTCACATGCAGCGACCGTTGTCTTTTACGTTTGACGCGTGCTGAGGTTCGATTGCGGTTTGGGCATGAGTCACTTATTTTTGTTTACATTTATTGTTGCTGTGTTTTGGCTTTTGACTAATTTTTACGCAATATTTAATGTTTCATTTACTTGCACAACTCAACGACCCAGACAACTTTCTTTTCTTGGCTGGTTGAACTTAAAAACAGTCGGATGGCAGCTGTTGTCACAATGACTACGCTTTGTTTAACTCTCAATTGCGGCAGGCACAGACACGGACACACACACAATTGCTTAGCCGGCTTCGATTTTGCACACTTTCGGCTCTTGATTCCACTTACTTCAAATAAAATAGAAACTACGACTGCGATAATAAATTCGAAACGAAACGAAATTTGATTTTGTCTTGTTAACTGCCTCTGCGAAGAAGCCAGCGCCAGCGACGTCTTTCCGGCTTTGAGTACGGCGCTCGTTTGACACGCGACGCCGGCGCTGAGCATGGCTCAAGCCCCAAGCTCCAAGCCGCCAGCTAAGTCGAGTTCAGTCTCGACTCACTGCCAACGCGTTGTAGAGGAGAGCAAGAGCCGCCGCTGCTCGAGCCAAGAGTGAAAACGTTGCCGAAATTATGTTTAACCAGCTGCTAGTTAGAGAGAGTAACTAAAAGAGAGAGAGAGAGTGGCCTGAGAGAGATTGCAATTGGGTAATAATAAAATTTGGTAGATGTGCGAAAGTTTAGATTTATACAAAGATCAATAAGAAAGCAAAATAAAGCAGGCCATAAAAATATTAGTTAAATTTGTTTTTATTACAACAAAAAATATATAAATTGTACTGAGTCTGTGGAAGTAGAACATGCGTTGAGCCTATGCTCGAATGAATGATGAAAGTATTTTAGATATTATTATAGAAGCAGCTCAAGTAGAATCTGGTCAGAAAAAGTGTGAAGCTGGGCGAGCCTGTCTTGCTGTTTATTATAAGTTACAGAAACAGATTGTGAGCAACAAAAATATATTTTTAATTCTAGTTTAAAGTTTATAAAATACCAAACAAATGATGTGCTCGAAATCTTGTTATGTAAAAGTTTTTAGAAAGCGAAAGAACTAAGATTGAATAAGAATATAGCAAAGGCTGCTTAAGTAAAGGTTGTTTCTTTTAGAGCTACACAGCTCTGAGTTAGCAGCTTTGCTTTATTTAATAAAATATTTAACAGCTAATAATTTCTATTTCTTGTGTTTGCTTTGACATTTCATTATGAATGGATGAAAGCAATGCTTGCAACTTGTGGAAATTCGTATTTTTGCGTTCGTTCACTTTATTTCTTTTAGGCATTTATGCGTTTATTGCTTACATAAAGATGAAGCCAATTTTTGGTAGAAGGAATATGTAAAAATAAATAAATAAATAAAAATAATTTCCAAGTTTATGTAGAAACACTATTACATCCACAGACAATTACTGTTGTGGCTTGGCGTTGGTTCATACGCCTGTAAAAATGTGTTTGCCTTTGAGTGTAATGATTGCGAACATTGAGTTCCAAATGGCACCTTATTCGCCAACTGCGGCAGCAACATGCTTAAAATTATATTGAAACATTAATGTCATAAAGCTTTCTATGCAATTAAGTCCGTTTAATTGATATTAAAAATATATTTGTACTTGTTATTCTAATTTAAAGTTGTGTAACTATAAAGAAAACAACTGTTATATTTTTGAAAGGCTAAACATGTCTCTTATATTATATGTTAATATAATAAGCACAGCTTGCGTAAAGCAATAATATTTCTAAAAAAGTGCATATGATCTTAAGTATAAGATAAACTAGCTGATGCTCAAAGTAAGCACAGAATAAAGTTCACACGAGAGGCGACTCTGATTATCTTTACTTTGAGGCGCCTATGATGAAAGCTTTCAGTATATGCCAGGCTTATCAAATGATTTGTCTTATGATTAAAAAGGTTTTGTATAGGTGAAATAGTTAAACCAGTTTGCAGCTGCAGGTTCGTTGGGTAATCTGACAGTTCAGAGTTCGTTCAACTCGCCTTTGCTGTATAACTGCTTAATTAAATCAGATAGTTGCATTACATTTGTTACACTTTTCTATAAGCTTCATAAATAGCCAAGCGAATTATTGTACAAGAGTCGCGGCAAATCTGGGTGCCACCGCGTCAGATGGCTTAATTGTAATGAGCCAAGAGCTCGTGGCAGCAGCAGCGGCAGCGGCAGCAACAAGCGAACAAGAGGCTAAGCAAATTAGCTGTTTGGAGAGTGAAAGTTGGAACCGGGCGGTGAAGCTGAAAAGAGCTAGCAGCAAGCAGCAACATGAATGCAACAACACAACGGACGAAGACAACAAGAGGTTGGCATTTAGCTGCAGTCGGGTTAAGCGACATTGAGTAATTTTCTGGTCTAGTCAGAGACCTCAGAGCCGCAGAGCGTGAGTCCGTCCCCCCACGCTGCTTTCTTTTTCCGCAACGCAATAATAATTTACACGTTTTATTTATTGGGTGAGGTAACCAGCTGCTGGCCCGTTTTTGACGGTCATATTGAAAGCGAAACCAAAATCTCCAGACTGTGGGCTGTGCCAGTGACGACTTTTATGAGTTTAGCCAAACTCAACTCTTGCCAATTTTGAGATCTATGCCAATGCCTGTCGTTGCTCCGAAATTTGTTGTTTGTTTTCGTCTTTGGGGAAATTACGCAAAGTCAAAGTCGCCACTTTGGGTTCATATTGATCAATTATTGGCCATTATTAATGTATCCGCTATGGACCAAGCTATCAAGTAAGGTCAACAGGTGGGCGAGGCAGCCAATGACTTACTTCACAATTCATCAGAGCAAACCATATTGATATCTTGAATTTATTTGCTTACTTTCAGTCAAGATGCGCTTCAAGGAGTACCCAGAAATAGTGGTGGATGTGATACCCAAGCTGTATGAGGACCACATTAAGGTATTCATTACACATCTCTATGGCATGGAGGAGAAGGTGGATCGACTGCCCAAGCAGTTCTGCAAGATGTACACAACCCAGCCACTGGCCAATCAGCTGCTCGGCTATCTAAGCAGCCGCGGGGCCAAGATATCGCTGCAGGATTTCCATATAGTTAAGGAAGCGGAGCCGTTCCAGCTGCGTCTCAGCGATGGCAAGCGACTGGAGCTGATGCTCTGCGCTGGCAATGAGCTCGGCAACAGCCTGATGCTGCTCATCCGCAAGCTGCAGGGCGGCCGATTGCTCTACTACTACTCGGCCGTGCAGCAGGATGATCTCTGTCGGCTGATGGGCAATGTCACCTATCAGGAATGGATTGCTCAGGGCGTCGATGAGCTCTATCTGAATCTTAAGGCTGCCGATCAACCCTTTAAGCATGTGGACTTCGAAGAGGTTGCCAGGATCATCTCCGACTGTGCAGCGTCTGCAGGTGGAACGTATGTGCTCAAGCTGCCACTGTTCGGCTATGAGTATCTGCTCACACGTCTAGCTCGAACCCTCACGCTCTATGGCCACATCAAGCTGATGAGCTCATATTTGCACAGCTATTGCTGCTTGGGCGCAGATCTCGGGCACTTCGAGCAGGATGGCTATGCCGTAACTGTTCAAATTGAGGCCTCCAACAGCTGGCCATTGCCACTGAACGAGCTGCTGTGGTCGCCCATGCCGAATCGGATGAATCTCATGCAGCTGTGCAGCCTGCTGCGACCGGTCTACATTAATGGCATTGTGGACTTTCATGCTACAGGCAATGTGCCGGCCGTGCCGCAGTATCTGAAACGCTTTCGCACGCGGTACTCGCCAAAGGCGAGCGCAGCGCCAGCTGCAGATCACTCGAATGTGCCCGAAACTCAACTCATACAATGGCCCAGTGCAGAGAACATAGCTGAGACCCAAACTCAACAGGAAAACACAGCAGCGCGCAAGGATTCGCATAAAATCATAAAGCAAAGAAAACTGCAATTTGTAGACTTTGATGAAGATGACGATTAGACTAGACAGAAGCAAGAAAAGGAAGGAAATTTAAACAATATAATTATATATGTAGAAAGAAAGTGTGAAACCTATTTAAGAACTTAATAAATGTTTTGAAGTCTAATAACATTTTTTTTTTGGAATGATAATCGATCAGACTGAAGACTGCCTTCAGTCGGATTACAGAGATGAGAGATGGAAAACAGGAATTTGAATTTGCAGTTGGCCAACTTTTCAGTAGTTAAAAAGACAGTTAGCCGAGCTATGGCCATTTCAGGTTCAATAAATATTTTATGTCAGTTTCAATGAAAATGAGACAAGCAAAAGTTAAGCACAAGTCAAAGATTTGACCAATTTGTTATCTTCAAAATGTAAATTTAAACTTATATTTTGGTGCGCCAAACCACAATCTCGCAGCACAGCGCACATTTCATTTAAATACAAATATGAATACGGTGCATGCAGCAGTTAATACTTTGGTTCCAACCAGCGCATTTAATATTAATATCAGCTTCGGTCTGTGACCGCTTCATGTTTGCGTAGAAAAGGTTGTTGAAATTATTATGAAATGCCTGTTGGCATCCAAGCTGAACAGGCACCCACCCAGTACCCAGTTGACTGTCCTACACCAAATTGGGTGGACAAATGTCCACTTATCAACGTGTAATGAAATATGGCACATGTGCTGGTCCTGCTCTATGCATCCGCTTGGACATCAGTCGCAGTAGTTGGCGCCTTTGTCCTCTGCTATGGAAGTCTTTTGTCGTGCTCTGGCATGTTCCATGAATTATGTTGATGGCCAGGAGCCTCAACTGCCTGAGTGTGTGTGCGTGTGTGTGTTCTTAGTCTCATTTATTACATTTTGGCTTTTTGACAGATTGCTAAGCGTAGTAACCGTTTCCGCACTAATTTCCGTGTCCTGCAACTATTCGGACAGCGTTGACGTTGCCTTTGCCTTTGCTTTTGCCTTTATCCGTGTCCTCATAGTCTGCAGCATTAAAAGCCAAAAGCAAATTACTCATCATATCAACGGTCAGTTGCGCTGCTTTTTATGTATGCCATGCACAGGGATTTTAATAAATCGTTTTGTCCGAGAGTCCTGTTAGTCCTTGCTTGGAACGACGTTCCATGTTTTTATTAGTTTGTCAATAAAGTGCCAAAAGACGTTGATTATGATCGCTGCTTCCCTTCACCATTGGCCATTGCCTTATGAGTTTTGCTTATGACCCGCAGGCTGAGACCGTTATAGGCTTCAGCAGACAAGCAAGAGATAATATATCCTTTTGCTATCATGTTTTGCCATCATCTGCCTTCGCAGAGACAAACTTGTGCTTGACACAAAACCGAAGTCGGAATAATTTTGCACTTTTAAAGCAGCTCAGCAGCTTGTGGCATGCGTCTTGGAGAGGGAGACTAGACAAGTTTCTTACATTTGCCAGCAGGAGGAAGGAACTCTGTGTGCACTTTGTAATGAATTTTTAATGCATTTTTGCTCCCGGTGCATTTTGGCTCGTCTTTCGAGGGACGCTGCGGGATTTTATCCAACGTGTAATGAATTTTATTTAGTTTTTCTTGCAGCTCTTAAGCTGAAAGGCAATTAGTTGGCATTACATACACTGCCACAACCCAAACACATGCGACTTAATTATGTTTAAATTATAATTGAATTAAGTTTAAGTGGCTTTCAAGTTGCGCCAAGCCACTTTTAATTGAAACATAATTTTGATTATTTGTTGCGAGAGAAACATTTGTGTCTACAGAGAGGAGAGAGAGAGAGCTAAGCATGTTCATAAATGTTAATCAAATATTTATACAAATATAATGCATTTGGGAAGTGCCAGGACTTGGAACTATTTTACTGACTTACTAAGTGAAGCTACAGTAATTTTTTTTCAAAATTTGTTTAACAAATATATTTAACATATTTTTGACAAAGTTTTGTTAGTTTAAATTTCATTTATTTATTATATTTAGTCTTTTCAAACAAGTAAATTGTTTTATATTTTTTATCTTCTAGAAAAGTAATTAATATTTTTATATAATTAATTACATAAAATAATATATTAAATATATATACTTAAAGAAAGAAACATGTCTGTTTGGCAAGATTTATTTTTTAAAAATTGTTTTTGCAAATAAACTAACTAATAAACATTTTTAAAATTTATATATCAGAGTAATTTATATTATTTTCGTTTCTATTTCTCATATTTTTTTATATGTATTTTAGTATATTTTTTAATATTTACACTAGGGAATTAATACAATGTATTTAATAATTTTATTTATTTATTTTTTATTTAATTTAATTTTTATTACACTTATTTCTTGATTATTTAGATATTTATTTATAATTTATTTATTTATTAATCTATTTACTTATTAATTTTATTATTTATATATAAATTTATTATTAATATTTTAAGTCTTATTTTAATTATATTTTAAATATTTCACAATTTTTATTTTATAATATAATCATTATTACATAATTTTTATTTTTTTATATTATATATATATTTTCCCATAATAAAAAGCACAATCTACTCAGCTATTTCAGGATATCTATATATTAAATATTTATCTTTAATTTAAACGTAGTAAGCTGATGATCTTAAATTTTGTATTATTTTCTGGCTTCGCTAACCGCAGGCAGTTAATTAATTTTAATTTACGGAAAATGGCTGCGCGCAAATGTTGCCCGTTTCTATAATTTTAATAATTAGAATCGGGCGCCGTGGGTGGGCGTTGCCTTTGTGGTAAGGCTGTGGCAGTTGGCCGTGGGTTGGGCGGATAATAAAATTGCCAATGTATGACAATGTCAGGCGCCCCAACCGTGGGCCCATATCTCGCCTGTTGCTGCTGGCAGGTGTTGGACCAAAAAGTAATTATCATAAACTAGACGTTGCGTGGCGTGGGGTGTGGGTGGCCCACTGATTAGTTTAGCTTAAAATTTAATTGAATACTAGTAAGTATTCATTGAGGGCCATTTGACGGACTGCAAATGCGACACGCGCCGACGCTCAAATGTCAAATTAGGCAGTTGCTGCCCGCTGCTGCCGGTTGCTGCGACTGGCGGCGCGCAGATTTGTGATTTGTGAAAACGCAATTCAAATTAAATATGCCGGCTCGCTTTGATTGACGGCTGCACGGCCAGTGAAGGCGGAAGCGGATGTGTTTATATACATGTTGGGCGCAAAATAATAGCCGAGCTCGGCCAGAGCTCGCGCCGTCAGTCATTATCATCGCCTGCTTAAGCCGTTAATAACATATCATATTTTTGTGGCACGCTGCCACGTATCCTGTTACTGCGAGTCGCGTGCGGCACTGCCACAATTATGAGCATTTAATCCGCGACCACAAAAACTACAAATTGGCTTAGACAGGCTAAGTGGACAGCCAACCACCCGAAAATTCAATTGCGAGGGTTGAAATCACGAAAGGAATTCGAATTATACTCGAGATATTCAAGATTCACAGATTCTGAGCAGGAATAATCGTTAAGCGTAGCTTAGTTTTAACTAAAAATGGGGCATACTTTGGGGGCTGGCCTTAGTCCGCCTTGCAGTTGTCTTACTTTGACAAATAGATGGCGCTACGTCAGAGTTTTTAGTTTTGAATGTTAAGTCAAATATATTTGCTTTGTTCGATCGAACTTGAACTGTTTGTTAATGCAATAGCAGTTGGAAACTGAAACTCGTATCGCCTTGTACTAGTTGATGATTCAGTTTTATGCTCCTCTGGTACCACATTGCTTATCTGAGGCAGATCGTCGATGTCCATTTTCTCCGTTGATAAAGTCGCATTTTTGATTGCATTAATGGTCTTAACGAAGGGCATAATACACGAGCGACAGCAGTTGCACACTACAGGTATACCGGAAGCACGCTTAAATTTCGATTTCGCTTGGCGCTTGGGCTTCGGAGGTGCCGATTTTCTGGCCCGATAACTTTGCCGCGCCTTGCGCCCGCCTGTGTAGCAATTTCGCTTCTGTGCGGGAAAAGTGTGTTTAGAATAGGAGCCCTGCATAGCGGGTACTCACTGTAGTTACTTATACCTTAATCGAAGAACGCAAGTTTAGATTGGAACAACTCGGAAAGTCATAGAAATTGTAATTGGCATAAGGATTCCGGGTCAATATGCCCAATTCAATCAAATTGCCCAAAGACTTCAGCACATGGTCCCTCACAGTATCCATGTCCGCCTTGCGACGCATCTGCTCGGCCACCTGCATAACGATATCATCTTTCGACACATAAACGGACTGACCATTCTGCAGCAGCGCAATGGCTTTCAGCACATTTCGTGTGTATACCTTGGGCTGCTGACTCGCCAACTCATCCATAGTTAACAATAATTTCGGTTGATAAATATTTGTATTGAAAATCTAAATCTATTTTTCCTTTTAGATTCGCTCGATGTGCTGGGTGTTACTAATGTGTATACAGTGAAAGATATATGTATGTGATCTGACTTGTTGTCGACTTGATGTGCGTGGCTTGTTGAGATTCAAATAGAATAAATGTGTGGGGTGTTTCTCTTGGAGCTACTCAAGTTTGAGTTGGCAACGCTGCTTAACCTGACAACCAATTTTACAGTTGAAAGTTGCTTTTTGTTGTGTTTGGCTTGCCATTTCATTGTGAATTAACTTACAGCAGAGCAATGCTTGCAACTTGTTGAAATTCTTAGCTATTTGTCGAACTTACTTTAGACGAAGTGCATTTTAGGACGTCCATGATTGAGTCCTTTTTTAGGACTTTGTCGCATTTGGTGTGAAAAGAATTATTTTTTACATACATAGCCAACATAACATCTACGCACACACATACACACACACACATAAGCACGAGCTCTGCTAACTTGGGGTGTAGTTGCTATCTTAATTTAGGAAGTTAGTTTTCTTATCAAATTTTCAGAGCGCGATTATAACATTCGTATGTCTGCTTTTTCACACATGCTTGATAAATTTGAAGTCTTCAGCATTTACGATATTCGAAGACAAATTATCGGCTTTTATCGATAACAAGTTCATCGAAAAATAAGATTAGATCATACTGCCTTTAGTAAACGCGAGTATTCATTACAAATTTCAAGTCTCTAGTTTATGTGGTTAACGAGATCGTCACTCTTACACGAGCGGACGGACAAAGGCACATGGCTATATCGATTCAGCTTGCAGACTATATCTAGCTGATTCTGACTATAGTTACTTTATGTGGTCTGCCAGGCCTTTTGCTGTCTGCTAAATACATTTTCAAAAAACCATTTATACCATTTATACATTTCCTTTTTCCATTGATAACGGAAATTCTTCATATTTCTCATTCAGGCCATGGCTTGAGAACGAAGACAAACTATCGATTTTGATCGATAGGTAAATGTTATTGAAACATCTCTCGCTTTTGAGGCTTTGGAGCTTACTGCGCTCAGTCGGACAGCTTGTCCTCATCGCCCCAGATCCATAATATATATATTCTATGTTATTTGCCACGCCTCCTTCTGCCACTAACTTTGAAACTAACTTTGAAAGGAAAGGCAAGGAAAACTTTTTGTTTTAAAATTTTTATTTGTTTTACATATATTTTCTTTTGTGCATTTGCTTTTATAATTCTTCTTACATATATATATTTATGCGTATTCATTTAATTTACATATATACTTTCGTCTTATGAACATATTCATGAGATCATAGTGATATTTTATATATATATATATATATATATATATATATATATATATATATATATATATATATATATATATATAAATATATATATATATAGATATATATACTTTTATATATATATATATATATATTTTAAATTAAATTACAGCATAAGATAAAATAATGTACAAGTTGTATAAACGTTATGCTTGACACATAGAAAAATACATATTGAAAATATTGTATGGGGGAGCTTAATCCTAGTTATATGTATAATTGGGGGGTTACGAATCGAATGCATGTTCGATGGCAGCTTTCGATGCGAGAGGCTGGCAGCTGCATCGGATGATTTGACAGACGATTCAACTGTTTTGGCACCAACGATCTATACAAAATGGCATTTCGATTTTTGCGCTATGTACAAATTACAGATTACAGATTACAAATTACAAATTAGGATGTACGAGTTTACGAATTACTTAATTTTAGGTCGGAAGTACGTCGCATGGAATAAAAATAAACAAATTTTCGCTATGTGATTCATTTTATATATTCTGTTTCTTGCTTGTTCTTTCTGCCTGCTGCTTCAGTTTATGGCAACCAAAAATCTTGATGACTTCTGGGCGCGCGGCCACAAAACTTTACCGAGATCAATGTGAAAACTAATTCGAATGAACCAGCGCCAACTGTTGCCACTGCCACCGCCTCCGGCTCCGCCTCCGCCTCCTTTGCCGGTGGCCGGTGACAAAACATTTGCGTTGAGTTCATTTTACAAAAATTTACAAAAATTTTCATTGAGTTTTTTTTTGGGTTTTGTGTGTGTTTTTTTTCTTTTTGTTTTGTTTTTGGGTGGGGACTTGGAATAGTTGTTTACAAATTAAGTGTAATAATGTATAATCAAAAAAAATAAGTAAGAAAAAAAAACATGAATATTAAACAAATTTTCTCTACTTTTGCTGCTTGCTGCGTTTACATTAACTAGTGTATCTCCCTCTCTCCGTCTCTCTGTTGCCTTTTGCTGTGTGTAAAATGATTAAATCTTAAAGCTAACAAGAAAATATTGCGCTACTTACAGGCATTTAACATATGATAAACAATACGTTTACTTAGATTAGATTTGATTGATTTTTTTCCTTTTTTTCTTTTCATTTTTTTTTTTGTAGAAAACTTTAGACATGAAAACTTAGCTTAACTAAGAAATGTGTAAACTAAAACGCTTGGCGATCTTAACTCTAGACTTTTACATAATTACGCCTAATTTACAAATATTTTCTCAATGCAAGTAAAAAATTGCTGATGTAAATGATAAAAAAATCCATGAGATCAATGCGATTTTTGGGAATAGTTTTTTTTTCTTTTCATATGTTCATTTTTTAATATATTTTCTTTTGTTTTCATTTCTTGTTTTTGTTTTCCACTGTTCGATTAGCATTGAAACGTCAAGAAATTTGGCAAAAACCAAATTGAAATTTGCCAAAAGATACCAATCAAAAAAAAAATAATATAGAAAAAAGGACAAAAATGATTAAAAATTTGATTTGCTGCATGTTTGACTTTTGACTTTGGCTAGCTGTGGAGATCAATTGAGTGTTCTATAAATTTCCAGTTTTTGGAGATCATTCAACTTGGCTGTTAGCCAAAGACCCTGAACCTGAAACTGAACCTGAACCTGAACCTGAAAACGTGTCGTCCTCTTACTCTTTTCCTTTGGCAAATTTCAATTGTCGCGATTTTGGCGCAAATTTCTTGTACAACGTGCTTAAAACTAGATTGTGAGACCAATTTGAAGAATGAACAAAATGTAATCCAGTTGCAAATCAAGGCTTACGCACTAACAAATTTAACTAAAAACATCTGCGCATATAATAAACCATAGACAAAAATCATCACAAAAATGGCATTATATCAACTATATACAAAAACATTTTTTGCTCCTCTCTCCCTTCTCTACTCTTTTTCTGTGGGATTTTTTTTGTCGCGAATAACAATTAAAGCTAATTACATTGTTTTTTTTTTTTTTGTATTATGTTCAATTAAAATTTTAACTACTTTAGAGCAACGTTCAATCGAGTTGCCACAAATATTTAAGATATTTATATATAAATTTTCTTGTAATTGAAATTACAAAGCGAAGACATTGAAAACTTTGTTGTTTGACAAACAATAGACAAAAATATACAATTAAAATATTGAAAATATATATGTATGGAAGCAGGATTTTGTGCGTTTTTTTTAAATATATATATGTATATATTTTTAAGAAATGCAAGCTAAATGCAAGATATTGAATTGCTGGAAGACCGGCCTGTGTAAAATGTATCTCAAAAAGTATCTCAAAAATGGCAGTTTCTAGTTGATTTCACGATTCTTCTGTATAGTAAAAAGTTTACAAAAATATGCTCGAGCTATAATTTCAGTTTGATTCTTATCGAAAAAGCTTTACCAAAAAATATGCATTAAATATTTTAGCAAAAATATTTGATTTCTTTTTGTTTTTTTTTTTTTTGTTTAGTCTTTTTGCCAGTCTACAGATTGCAATTGAGCAGTTTAAATTGTTGCTGTTTGAGAGAGAAATATGAATATGAATACGTATACGAATACATTTATATATTGTTCTTGTGTCCCGTCAACCTCCTTATATATATATGTATGCGGGCTGATTTCACTATAGATTAGCTCTTCTTTTCTTTAAGTATATATATTTATATGTGTGATTATAGATGCTTGCTGCTGCTGCTGCTGCTGCTGCTGCTGTTGGCGTTTCATCGCGCTGCATACAAGCCCCAGCCCATGGCGAGCACAAAGACGGTGACAACTGTTGGCCAAGTGAAGCTCTGTTGTTCCTGCAAATGGAGACAGAGAAAAACATAATCAAATAAATATTAAGCAACATATCATAGAAATCACTTAAACAATTGCTCTCCGGGGCCATATAAACATTGGCGAAGTCAGAGGGCACGTGACTTAGTTTGACCGCACACACAGAACTCGCCATACCTAAATCAAACCCAAAGGCCCGTAGACCGGAACCCATGTCAGTGACCCAGATATGCTCAATGGCTGGTCAATAGCTGGCGTAATTATGTAGTCCATTCAATCGCACTCCACGCTGTGGCCGTAGCTATCATTTCACAATTTCGTTTATCGCATTCAATATATACATAGTAATAATAATAATTTATGCCACTTATTTGTGGTACATTCACGGTTGAGTGGTCAGTGCGGCACGTGTAAATCGATGACTGCACAATATTTATCATGCAAATTATCAAACATTATACTTTTTGGGCACATTTTAATAGAATTTGTGCATTTGTTAAATGATTTGAAAGGCGCTTTGCAGCATCTGTTCGCATTTTTGACAACTCTCGCCTGTCTGTTTAAATATAGAATTTAAGTCCAAATGGCTGCGTTTCGCTACAAATTGTGACTGGTTTATAATTATTAATAAGTAGTTGCTCATATGGATAGCAAATGAACTGTGTAATATGTTTGCTGAAATGAACAACGAAGGCTCAAAGGTGGGGGTTAGCTAGAAATACTATGTATGCAGTGCAGCGCCATCTATGTATTAGCCTAGGAACTACTGAGCACAACTATTATATTTCTATATAGCACATCTTTTTGCATAATAGTTTTCACTCTATCTTTAGACACCTCTGCATAAATAATTGCTTAATCATACTACTCACGCAGCCTAAGAGCTCTTCCACGTGATCCAAGCTCAGCGTGCAAATCCTGTGCTGCTAGCGTGCAGCGCCATCTGTGTGTTAGCCTAGGCACAGCTACTATTTTATTTTTCTATAACAAGCTTTTTACTTAATAGTTCTAACTCTACGCAGCCTAAGCTCCCCTGCTAATTCCCAAAGTCTCATTAGTTTCCCAAGTCTGAAAAAGTATATCGAAAAACCTTTGCCCAAACTTTGACATATATATGCTCAGTGGAGAGCAAACCAGCTGCCGATAGATACTAACTACTGAGCTGTGCTCAATTGCGATTATAAATATTCTCACGATCTCATTAAAGCTCATTTGCGATAAGGCGAATCGCACTGAGTTCGCACAGCTTCCCCCAAGTGTATTTCCAAAGTGTTACGATAAGCGCAATGCAAATAAATTACACGCAACAACAACAAAACACAGTGCGAGGGAGAGCGGGAGAGAAGCAACTGAGCATGGTATCAAGTGGGCAGCTAGAGCGCGCAGCTATGAGCGTGTGCCTCAAGTCTGTGTCATGCGTTTCAATTTCTTGAAGGTTGCATTTCTTTTAATTGCGCAGGCAAAAAATAATAAAAAAAGTGTACAATGCAGGCTGAAGTGCTCATAGAGACATGTGTCTACACACATCTATAAATATATATATATATATATAAATATATATATTATATATGCAGGCTGTTCATGTGACAGCTGACAAAGGCTGATTCTTTGACTGACTAAACTAGTCGTGGGAGCTTCAGGCAGTGAGCGGGGCAGTTGAGTTGCTTCGATTAACATAAAGCCGCAGAGTGGCGAGTGGGGGGAGCAGCTGTCTCCAGAGCAGAAGCAGCAGCAGCAGCAGCAGCAGCAGTAGCAGCAACGGCAGCAGCAGCGCTGCGCAATTAATTTTTATCACACTTTTAGCATGTGCAAAGTTTTGCCTCAACAACATTTGAAATATGCACGCGTCGAACTCCAACTGGAGCTGCCTCTGGAGCGCCTGCTTGTGGCAATTTGTCATTGGCTGCGCCTATTTTTAGGCTAGTTGGGCTTTTGAATAATGCCAGCACGTGTCGGCTGGAGCCCTGCCTCCAAGTGAATGAACTTCCCCAGGCATAGCATAATCAGGCACACGACACACAAATCCGCTCGTCTCACTCACCTTCTCTTTGTTCGTCTCGCGTTGTTGGCTGCAGTTGCTCTCATTGGCAGTGCTGCTGCATGGATTCGCGTTGCTGTTGCTGGAGCTGTTGGTCTTCTTCTTGCGCGGCGGTATGCGTCCACTGAACTCCTGCAGGCGTTCGCGTCCAGCCGTAAAATTGTCGTAGCGATCGTCAAACTCGTCCCAGCTGGTCTCATGATCGCTCTGATACTCGCGCTCATCCTCGCCCGTCGAGGTCAGCCGCTTGCTGCAATGGAGGAACAGAGACAGAGAGACCATTACTACTGCTTCTTCTTATCAGTTGTAAATTCTATCGATTCGATTGGAATTTGTGTTCTCGTCTAAGCTGAAATTTTGTGCTCTGAGTACTCACCGTCTGGCCGCATCTGATTGGCTGCGCTGCAGACGCATCTTGGGGCCGGTTGGCGCCAGGGGCGTTGATGCCATGACCGGGCCATGGACGCCGTAACGGCCAAAGGGCATGGCCGTTGCGCCAGCCGAGGTCGAGGTGGAGGCATTCGCTGTGTTCGGCGTGGGTGGCGGCGTGTAGGTGGCGTAGTAGGCGCCAGCCGGCAACGGATGTCCATAGGAGGCTGGATGATGATGCTGCAGCATGTGCGAGACCTGCGGATAGCTGTGGCTGTAGTGCATCGGCGGCGCCGACTGCGGCGCCGGCGGTTGCGGTGGCATTGGCTGTGGCGTTGTCGGCGCCGGATACGGCTGCCGGAAGAAGTTCAACTCCTCCCCGCCCGCAAAGCTCATGCTGCTGCGTGGCGTGCGAGGTGGCTGCTGCGGCTGCGGCGGCGGCGGCACATAAACGCCATGGGCAAAGAATATATCGCCGCCCGTATAGCTGGGCGACTGAGCCATCGAGCACGAGGGGCTCGGCGGCGGCGGATACTGAAAGATGTGCGGGGCTGTGTCGAAGAAAAACGCAAGAGAATAAATAAAATTGCCATTAAGATCGTCAGCAATCGCAATAACAATAGCAATAAACATAATAATACGTTAATACTGAATAAACAAAGGTGGACGGCGCGCGCTGTCATCGGCCGCAGCGACAATGTAAGGAAGTGTCTAAGGTCGCCCAGGCGCTGGGCTTTTAGCGGCGCTGTCTGTGGCATAAAGACAGCCTTAATTGCATCAAGTTCCACTCGCGTGAAGGCAATCGTAAAGCCGATCATAAAATCAAACAAGTAGCCCACCTTGTGAAGCAGCTTGTGCTAGGATAACTGTAGGATAGCCAGCATCAGCATCGATACTTATGCATGCTAAGCATCTGTAAGTACTTGTCGTCCGATACTAGACATATCTATAAACACGTATATGTATATCTGTATCTCTTTTTGTGCTGTTTCATGCAAATTGAGGCTTTCAGCGCTGATCACTTGATATGCGCATAAATTTGTTGCTCTGTTGTGTCAGCTGTGGCAATATTTTCATATGATTTCTTAATGTTTATTTACTTAAAAAGCAATTTAATAGCAACATATGATTGATTGTAATGCAAAATTTATACAAATCACTCGACAATGGCAAACTGACCGAAACGATAATGTCTCAAGCAGCTAATTGCCCCTAGGGCCAACTTGTGCTGGCTTCAGTCTGTCAGTCAGCAGATACATAGATACAGATACGGCTCAAATAATGTCATTCAACGTCAACCTGCAGGCCACTAATTTGCAATTGACCCAATAGCCTTGAACTCGAAACGCGAAACGCGAAACGCGAAACGCGCAACGCGAGTCGAGTGCCTCACAGCTGTTGCAGTTGCAGCAGCGGCAGCAAAATCTGCGCTTAATTGCAGCGGCACTCCTTGCTCCATGCTCCATGCTCCACGCTCATGCGCGCATTTGTATCTTACAGATACTTTATGCCATTTGAAACTAGTTTGAGTTAGCTAGCAGGCAGGCAGTCAGCCAGTCAGTTAGTTAGGCAGCCAGTCAGGCAGTCATTCGACCAGCTGCCTGAAGCTCCACTGCAGCTCACGTGTGCCTTCGCATTTAACCTTGAAAATCTGCCCGTCCACAACGTCAGGCATCATTACGGCTTCGCATTCGTATCTTGTGTATTGGCTTTGCCTAGCTTTTGCTGCTGGCCAGCTTATATAACCAGCCATAGTCATAGCCATAGCCATAGCGTTAGCCCATGCTGGTGCCTTTATGATGAGACGCGTTGAAAATGTTACTACTAATTGCAAATTGTGTGGAAAATTATTTGCCAAGTGTTAAAATTGCATTTGCATATGAGTATGTGGGCAACATAGTATCTTTCTATGTGTGTGTGTCTCTGGGCAATTAGGTGTTGTGCAGGGTGCTGAGCCTCGACTGTGATATCGTTTAGCTGCGACCTGGGCATGACTGTGACTGCGTTGCATCTAATCTTAATTGAATTATCGATAAGCGATAAGAGTAATCGATCAACATCTTGACTTAATCAAATTACAACTTTGTAGCTATTCAGCTAATATATAATAGTTTATGTGGGAAAATGGCTCGATAAGAAACTATCGATATATATCGATAAGTTTCAGTGCACATGTCATAGCCTATACAAGTTATTCTTATGACATTGCTTATTTATTTAACCTACATTACACTTATTATGCATGTGTTATCGATATATGTTATCGATAGAGTTCATTAAGATTTGGCGCAATATATCAAAATGATTTTTTTATAAGATTTATGTACAAATATGTAAAAATTCATATATAATAATTGATTCTATTTATTGTGATACACTTTGTAATAATCGATAAAAATAATCGATAGATATAAATTGCTACAAAATTATTTTAAGTATTTCGCCAGTTACAATATATGCAAAAAACACTAAATACTATTCAAAATATATTTTTACGTCAGCAAACAAATCATTCGGTAAACAATTATCGATATTAATTTATGAATTCTGAATATATGTTTACTATAGGCTAACTTTTTGTAAGGACTTATGATTCGTTAAGGAACTTAGGTATTTTTAGCTGTTTTTTATAGATATAGCACCCTATATAGCTTGTACAACAACTATCGATAGTTATCGAGAGACTACAGCATACAATATCAGGGCATATAATTATATCTGAGTTGTTACAATACAAATTTAAAATATATTCAATCAATTTTATGGTATAAAATTATGATTACGATAGTAAAAAAATAATTCGATAAACTAATATCGATAGTAATTCACAACTGCTTAATAATCAACTTCAATAAAACTGTTCTAGCTCAGTTTTTTAAAGCTAGGTTTAATGATCGCGCCCCACCTGCACAGTGTGGCATTATCCATCTCTGCGGTTTTCTATTCGATTCTCATATTTTTTCTTTTTTGTCTCACCTCTAGAGGTTTGCGTTTTAGGACGTTTATGGCACCTTTGCAATTTTTATTTTTATGATCGCACTTCGATGCGGGCTGGCAGTTGCCAGTTGCCAGTTGGCTGTTAAGTAGTCATTGTTGTTGGTGACGAAACGTGACCGATTGTTAGCAATTTTTTGTGCATTTGTTTAGACAAATGCAAGCATTGCAACTATTTTGATGGCAAATGTTTAATTGAATTGCGATTATTGCGGCTCGCATTTGTCGCCTCGACAGCAACAATTATGTGTGTAATTTACTTTAATTTTTCATTTTGCAATGCTGCAACAATTGTTAAGGTTGCACCAGCTGACAAACATCAATCAGACGAACGACAACAATGGCAGCACAAGTTAAGCTGAGCAGAACGTTTGGAAAAGCTAAAGAATAATTTACGCGCAGCTTGAGGGAAAAGCCGAGCGGAAAACGTGAAAAATCTTGAGCATATTCCCTGTGTGTGACTGTCTGTGTGTGTGTGCGTGTTACGCTTTGCTTGCCACAAAAGAACAAAACGTTTGGCATTTCAGCTGCCCTAACAAGTTGACTCCATACACTTTTGCAGTCGAGCCAAGATTCTTGGCATAGACATTTTTGCTTTTGATACTAAAGCGTATTCAAGCTGCGCCTAGTCTTTGCTCTGTGGCTCGTTCTGCAGTTTATTTCTTTTTTTTTTGCAGTTGATTACATGTCAGGCCCCACCGAGTCGAGACCGCTGCAGCAGCATATGCTGCTCATGATGGCCTTGAAGTGTTTGCAAAAAATAACAGCAGCAACAACAGCAACAACAACAACCACAACATTAACAACTAAATGCGAGTATGAATATCAGGCAAGAACTGCGTCGAAATTGAAACAAGTTTCAATGGTCACTGCGGGCGTCGAAGTGGCAGCGGCTGCCAACTAGCCAAGTTGGTCACTGGGCCTGAAAGCACAGATCTTGCCGATCGCCGATCGCTGATCGCTGACATTGCTGCTTAATGTTTTATAAGCCAAAAGCTAGTTAACATATCAAATGGAGCTGCAATATAACTTTATGGCTTACTTAAGGTTATTTAAGTTCACAACTTTTGCTACATTTCATTTAAGAAAAAAATAAACAAAACTTGGCTGGCATTTATTGATGATGCAAATGCAACGGGACAGCAACTCTTAACTGACAGCACAAAGCTAAGGAGCAGACGCCACAAAAAAAAAAAAACAAAAGAAAAAAAACAAAAAATTCCCATTAAATTTCACAAATTTTTGACACTACAAATGATGCGGCTGCAACTCACATAAGAAGCGCACATTGTTGTGTCACACACCTGACGCCCACACACATACTTATATATATATATATATATATATATATATATATATCTTACTATATCGAGTGAACTTGTAATTCGTTCTTTTAAGGCGATTTGCTGGCTGTCACGAGGCGACAATCTACAAAACATGTTGAGTCCAGTCCGTCCGTCTGTCCGCTCATATGTTTGTTCGCTTTAATTAGTCGAGGCTGCCAACTGAAGTGGCTGATTCAGGGCCAAAGTGTTAACGGTACAATTTGTAATGACAAAACCCAAATTCGTCTGCCACACACACTCGAGTAATGACTAATTGGCATCAGGAAGTGGCTCGCAGAGAAATCGCAGGCAACAAACTTTTTAGGCAAGTTGTCAACCAGATTCTTAGACTGTTTTGGTAATAAAAAAACACACATACGTATGTATCATATACAGTTCATTTATAGCATATACAGTTCATATACAACACAAAGTGGAATGCCAAAGCAGCAGGTGTCGCTCGATCGATCGATCGATTGCCATATCCAATTGTTAATTACCAATTTTGGTAGCTTTAATTAGCCATTTGTGTAATGTGCTTTACCGTTATGAGCTGTCAAGAGAATTTTGTAGCCGCTAAAAATGCGGAAATCACTCGAAGGATTTTCGACATGAAAGCGAAAGTCTGACTCAGTGCGAAAGGAGAAAGTTCTTGGCAAAGATAAATTTGGTACGTTTAGAAGGTAAAAGTTGAATCAGACAGACAAGATATATATATATATATATATATATAGAGTGTGTATATCATATATATGTGACGTAACTTCTTGAGTCACATGATGAAATTAAATTGCAAGTTCTGGCGCAAAAATGTAATGTTCATAAAAATAGTAGTGCTGACCCAGCAAGAGTGATAGCATTTGCGATAACTATATTTCAGCAGCTGCTCAAGTTATCGATAACACACAGCTGCTTAAATCTTCTATAAGCTTTGCCATTGTTTTAAAAATTTAAATTGAAATTAAAAGTTTCCAAGATTTTTGTTTTTTTTGTATTATTTCAAGCTTAACGCCTAATGGAGCTTCATAATTATATATCTAATGAATTAAGAACGCTCAGTGACGAGGTCAGTTACAGCTACACATGTGCATACATATATAGACGAATCGTGTATCTAATGAGGCTGATGAGGCCTCCTTTTGTTTGCCACTCAACTTCAAGCGCAGCTGACCAACGTGCGAAAAGCCACAAAAAAAAATACGAGCATAAAAAAATGTTGATAAAAACTAAAT